TTGTCACATGTCGAGTAATGTGATTTTTTCTCAACACAGAAATTTTCATTTTTTCTGACCATATGAGACCTGAGTTAGTAGGGTTAGTATAGTATCTGTTTGGGATGTTAGATTTCCAGAATTCGCTTGATAAATATCTTTATTTTGGAGTTATTTCATGAACCGATCAGTTGACCTTGAGATTACATTCTCACCAGAAAAATCCTTTGCTGTGTCATTTTAGTGATCTATTTTTGTGACTGTCCCAAGGACTTCCCTATAGAGTATAAATGAACGCAATTTGAGTGCTTGGATTCATTTGTGTGCTGTCTGGGTGTTTGTAGAATACACTTTCTACACTATATCAAAACTTCTTGCTGGTACAATTTGTTCAACCGATCACTGTAGCCTACGAGGACTCTGGTTCATTGTTTTGTTCTCGTTATTGGTGAGGACGTAATACTTTGAGCATACCTAAAGACGAGCGTACCAGTATCCCTGTATTCAGAAATAAAGTTTTCAAAATGTAAACATGTTATTCCATTGCATATATATATATATATATATATATATATATATATATATATATGCACATATGTTGATGGTTTCAAATCTGTAAAAACACAAATCTCCAAAACTCTAACTGAAAATATCGTAATATGTGCTCACTAGTGACTAACTTCGTTAGGAAGTTCTCGGAGTTCTAGTGAGAAAACGTGACCAATGGAGTTCAACCCTGTCGGGTGTAGGCAATCAACCACCAAAGACAAATGGGTGAGGTCGCGCAAAATCTCTAGATCAATCAGAGTTAGACATTAACACCATTGGATACCGGCCCAGTGGTCCAATGGTTAGGCGCTCGCGCACAATACCGAAGGTCCTGTGTTCGAATCCTGCGAGCCGTAGAAGTCACTAATGCGCACTGCTGATGAGTCCCATACCAGGACGAAACGGCCATCCAGTGCTTCCAGGTTTCTAATGGTGGTCTAACACAATGATTGATTGATGATTTCAAATGTGTAGAAACACAAACCTCCAAAAGTAACTGGAAATTATTTTCCCAATTTATACTGTTCCTGATATAGTAATTGCGAAATGGTCTTATTTCATTTGTGTTATGTACGAACTTTTTTTTCAATTGTCCTTAAATGTACTTTGTTTTTGTCAATGATATATATGAGAGATATTCATTTTTTGAATGATACTAGTAACCGTTTAATTTTAATTTTAAAACTTGATGAAAACAAAACATTACTATGGTTCAATTAATGGTAAGAGGAAAACAGAAGATTTATGGACAGTTGATGAAAATCATGAGCAATGCTCTTCTTGTAGTGAATGTTTACATGTCTAGCTCACGGAGTTTGTCCCATTTGTCTTTTGACCTTGTCAATCATTTGCTCATATTTTTTGTCTGTTTTATTCATATATGTGAGTGTGTGTGTGCATACATGCCTATATCGCTTATGACCTGTCTGGCTTATTTTGTCTGTGTGTGACTAGAAATTCTTAGTCATGCTTCATCGCCTCCTTTACTTCAATTCTGCTTCTCTTTGCTTTACTTTACTTTGCTTTGTTTGTGTGCTTTTTGTTATCATGTTTACATGAACATTTGTCTAAAATAAATCAATCCAATTAGAATCCGCGTATTTGGCATCTTATTTACCGCCGTCACACAAACGGGGTTCGCCAAAATAATAGCATACGGAAACTAATGGAGAGATGTAGTTCATAGCATAGTCGATCGATCATAGGTGTATTGAAGCCGGATCGCGGGCCACCAAAGTAGTGATAAGTCCGACGTCGAATCTAACTCAGCCAACACTCTATTCAACTAGCAAACTGTAATTTTTACTTAGTTACTTACTACTTACGCGTGTTGCTCTCAATGGAGCATAGGCCGACGACTAGTATTCTCCAGCCTGCTCTGTCCAGGGCGCCTCCCTTTTTAGTTCTGTCCAATTTGTGTTCATTCTTCTTGTGTCTGTCTCCATTTGTCAGCGTGTTGTGTTCCTTGGTCTTCCTTTTTTTCTTTGACCTTGAGGGTTCCATGTGAGAACTTGTCTTGTGACACAGTTGGATGCTTTCCTCAACGTGTGTCCTAAAGCTATTTGGAACAGTTTTCCGATCTCCCATATTGTTTGAACATTCTATGTACTTAAAAGAATGGTTTCTCTGGTTGTCAGAAGGGGCATCGACCTCAAGACTTCCGACAAAATCTCGGCTTTCATTATGAGACGTCATAACTCTTCGAAATGAAGACTTTCTAAATGGTTTGAATTATTTTTTCTTGTTTGCGTTTCTTTAATGAGTTAGTTTTCTACAGAATAGGATCGCCAAACTCACACCCAACCCTCCTTCTTTACCCCGGCTTGAGACCGGCAGTGACCCCATAAGGGGCTCCAGGAGGAGTTTTTTACTTTTGGGTTATAACGCCACTGTTAACTCACTTATTGGTTGATATTTTCAACTCTACTCAATCATTGATATGACGAGACAATCATCTACTGACCTTAGTGATATCGATTTTATTTTCGTACTGGTTGAACTCCATTGATCACAATTCTTATTTTTCATTGAACTTTGAGAATGTTTGTTTATGTTGACGAGAGAAATGTTTTATGAGAATCCATTAATATGAATATAATTTAATTAGTTTTTTGGTTGAATTATTTTTCATTTACTAAGAATTTTAATAAAATATTTTTGTAATTATAAAAATGTGATATGAAATGTAAGTGGGTATGTGGTGCGCGCTACTTATAAGTAGTATATGACGTGAGTGTAAACGTAATGTCTGGTGGCAGCAGCAGATGGGGGAAGATCAAGAAAGGAAGAAGAGTGGGAACACAATGGAATTTGTATGAAATAGCATGAATAGTGAGTGAAATGTCAGACAATAGATTGATGATGGATTGAAGATTTGCAAATTAACCGTTTGCGATATGGTTTTCCTATTTTACTGAGTAACTCTGTAACTTTGGGATAGATACAATTTGGTTGCCCTCACCTGTGTTCTCCTTCACAAAAAGTATTATATGATCAATTTCCAAATTTATCTAAATAGTATGTAAACACTTTATAGTGTCTTTCACATAGAATACAACAGATATATTTTTGACATGACTTACTCATTTATGACTGTTACCTCCAATGAAGCATAGGCTGTCCTGGGGTCTTCCTCTCCAGTTCTACCCAATTACTGTCCATTCTTTTCATATCTGTCTTCATTTCTCTTGGCGTAATGTTTGCTCTGGTCTTCCTCTTCTCCTTTAGCCTTGAGGATTCCAAGTTAGGGCTTGTCTAGTGATGCAACTGGGTACTTCCGTCTACGTGTATCCTATCCCTACCTCCTTACTGTTTGATATTATCACGTAATTCATAATTCATTACTCAACGTTAAAAATCTTTTTCCGATGTTATTGCTGTTTTGATTTATTTTGTCTTTTCTTGAAATAGAATGTTGTCTTCTTAAGTCCTACATCACAATATCTTCGATTCTCTACATTTCTACGTGATCCATGCCCATATGAAGGTGGTGCTAGACCGGAACTATCCGATTTATTAGTACGATATCGTTTAGCTAAATCGAATTCAACTTATGATCCAACACAATACATTGGTTATGGTGAATGGTCTGATATTGAAGTGTGTAGAAATTTAGTATCAGCTTCAACATTGGATATCCAATCGGCAAATGCAGAAAATGGTAATATTATCGATCCGACAGAAGAAGATGAATATACTGGTATTAAATGGGCTGGTGATAATCCAATCCCATGTGAAATCCCTGTATCTGATACGAAAGTGATGTATGAAGTAAGTTGTTAAATGATTTATTTGTTAGTGAGACTGACTATATATATTCATATTCAGTAGATCAATAGGATAGATAGATGAGTTAGAATAGGCAACTAAAAGTACTGGGTTCAACTTCAGAAGGAAATATATCGGTATATAGGATATGAAAGTATATATCCGCACTTTGTAAACGTATATAGAAAAGTTATTTGTAATTGTAGTCTTTTGTACTATTATGTACAAACATCTCATTTCATTAATGATTTAGTTTTGAATATACAACTAAACAATCTAAGGAGAAAATGTACAACAAAGAATATAATTTTTCTTGCCCAGTAGATGGTATGATTTTAAAGTATTTTACATTGAAATTTTGAATCAATCATTGTTAGGCAATCATTAGAAATGTGGAAGCACTGGGAGACCGTTTCATCCTAGTATCGGACTCATATCAGTAGTGCGCATCCTAGATCGTCGCCCGTAACATAGTCGTTAAGAGTAGAGGATATTTGTAGGTTACTAGTTTTTGATCATATGTGTATCCGAAGCATTGCTCATGTATCCTGGGACGACTGAGTAAGCAAAACTATCGTTAGGAAACGAGTTCTAGGTAGGGATGGCAAACCAATAGATGAAATATTGAAACTTCATCAGTTGAGGTGGTTGAGACATGTGTTACGTATGCCTAACCACCGACCGCCGCAACGAGCAATGTTTTGTGGTGTAGGAATACGTTGGAAGACAGCTAGGGGCGGCCAAACCAAAAAATGGCACAAATCCATAAAGTCACTGAAAAGTAGACTGAGTCATGTTGGTATATGTAGGCTACCTGGTTGGGGTCCGCGAGACGAAAGTCACCAATGGTTAGAGACCTTGAAAGGACATGGCTCAGAATCGTTTGCAAAGGCGCAGGTGCATACACTCTTTGTGTTCTCTCTAATTCTAACCTTCTGAATTCCTCATCATCTCTATCTTTCTCCTTCTAAATTTTTCTCACTGAATTATACTTTTTGAATCATATCTTCGCTCCATAATCTTCTCCATTACTGCTAATACTTCTACTATCACTATCACTGTTGTATTTGAACTGACAGTTGTGTCTCTGTGCTGACGTGGTATGGCAACCTGAACTGATGTACTTATGTACGAAGTTCTGAGTTGTATCTGTCTGTCTGTCTATCGTCGCCCGAAGCAATCCAAGCTGAGACCTTCGACATCGTACGCGAATGCTTAACCTGTGGACAACAATCTCTATAACTCTCTGATGAATATCGTGAAATATGCTCACTAGTGACTAGCTTCATGGGGATGTTTCTCCGACTTTTAGTGAGAAGCCGCAACCAGTGGAGTTAAACCCTGTACGGTGTAGACAGTAACTATTGAAGACAATGGGTGAGGATGCACAAAATCCTTGGATTGATTTAGGTTAGACATTATCATTATTGGATACCGGTTCAGTGGCCTAGAGTTAAAGCGTTCGCGCGCGAGACTGAAGGTCCTAAGTTCGATTCCCACGAGCGATGACTGCGAATTCGCACTGTTGATGAGTTCCCTACTGGCACGTGAAGGTCATCTAGTGCTTTCAGTTTTCCAGTGGTTATCTAACAATGATTGATTCATGATTTCAGTGCAAAACAACAATCTCCATAACTCCCTAATGCGTGTATCAATGCAGAACCACTCCATAACCAATGATCTTTTGGTATTATCATGCATTGACTTAGTTGAATCCGCTCATTTAATCCATCGAAGTTGCCTGCAACACTTACAGAATAATACAATACAACTAGTCTGAAATCATATAATGACATCTTGTAAAACTTGTGGAAATAACTTCGATTATCATCCAGTGGTCTAGCAATGTAAATATCTCTGTCCTATTGATAATTTGACTTACTAACTTACTTATTTACGACTGTTATCCATAATAGAGCATTGGCTGCCAATCAGCATTCTTCAATTTATTCTGTCCTGTTCATTCTTTCCGTTTCTCACTGTAATGAGTTCATTGATCTTCCTCTTCTCCTTTGGCCTTGAGGATTCGAAGTGATGGATTTTCTTGTGACGTAATGTGTGTCCTAACCACCACCAGTGTTTCTCTCTCCGCTGGAACCTGGCTTGTTCTCTGCTAGAGTAGGTTATTACTGATGGTATCTGGCAGACGGATAGGCAGTACTTTGCGTAGACCACCGTTAATAAACACATGTGTCTTGTGGATGATGGCTGTCGCAGTTCTCCAAGTTTCCGCTCCATACAACAAAATTCTCTTGACTTTTGTATTGGAAATTCTGACTTTGATGTTAATTGACAGTTGTTTTAAGTTCCAAATATTCTTTAATTGTTGAAATACTGTTCTTGCTTTGTTAATCCGTTTCTTTACATTGGCATCAGATTCAGCTTGTTTATCAATGATGCCACCATGATATGTTAAGGTTCTACATATTCCAAAGCTTCTCTGTTAAGTGTGATTTGGTTGGTGAATGTTGAGTTGTATCGGAGGATCTTGCTTCATGACTTGTTTATTTAGAGACTTACTGCTACTGAGGCTGCTGCTACATCGATCATTATATGCATTTACTGTTACGTGTGGGGCGAAGTTCAAACTGTCCAGCTATATTGGAGCTGTCCACTGTATCTCATGCATCTCTCCAGATGTTTACATCTTCATAATCCAGTCGACTACCAGGGGAAAGAGAAAGAGTGAGATTAAGCATGCTTGCCTGATACCGGACTTCACTTGAAACGAGTCTATGAGCTGTCCACCAAGCATATGATTTTGCAAAGTAGTCCGTACGATGTTGGCTATCTTCTCAGGTGTGCCATAGTGTCGAAGAAACCTCCATAGTGTCATCCTGTCCACGCATTCGAATGACTGAGATCGCCTTTTTTTAGTACTGTAGATTCCCCTTTTTTTACTAACCCAATTACAATTAGTACATACAATAAAAAGAGATCTTGATATAACCTTAAAAAATTGTCACAATTTATTTAACAATCACTTTTAGAAATTTCATGTACTTTTAAGTCAAATCAATAAGCAAACATTTTGACAACTGTGCAAACTTTGAAAAAAAATCAAGCTTCTTTGCTTCATACCACCGAATATACTAAACAAAAATAGTATTAAAACCATTTTACTGTTACTTACTTACTTACTTACGCCTGTTACCACCGATAAAGCATAGGCTGCCTACCAGTTTTCTCCAAACAACTCTGTTCTGTGCTTCCCTTTCCAGTTCTGTCCAATTTTCGTTTATTTTTCTCATATCTTTCTATATTTCTAGGCGTAATGTGTTCCTTGGCCTTAAACTTTTCCTTTTACTTTGAGAGTTACAAGAGAGGGCTTGTCTTGTGACACAATTGGGTACTTTCCTCAATGTGTATCCTTTCTACTTCCAGTCCTTTTTCTCGATTTCCTCCTCAGCTGGAATCTGGTTTGTTCTCTGTCACAGTAGGTTGTTATTTATGGTGTCTGGTCAACGAATCCGAAGTATTTTGTGTAGACAACTGTTAATGTACACTTGTGTCTTGTGGATGATGACTTTCTTAGTTCTCCAGGTTTCCGCTGCATACAGTAGAACTGTCTTCACATTTGTATTGAAAATCCTGATTTTGGTGTTGATTGATAGTTATTTGGAGTTCCGGATATTTTTCAACTGTAGAAATGCAGCCCTTGCTTTGCCGATCTGCACCCTCGCATCTGCATCGGATCCACCTTGGTTGTCGATGATGCTGCCGAGATATGTAGAGGTGTTAACCTCCTCCAAGGCATCTCCATCAAGAGTGATTTGCTTGGCGTATGTTGTGTTGCATCGGAAAATTATGCTTTTTCCTTTATGTATGTTGAGACCTACTGCTGCAGAGGCTGCTGCTACACTGGTCTTCTCTTGCATTTGTTGTTGTGTGTGCGATAGAAGACCCAGAACATTTGCGAAGTCCAAATCGTCCGTCTGCATCTTAGCTGTCCATTGGATACCGCGCTTACTTAAACCATGTTTTATATAAAAAAAATACTGTAGACTAATGATTTTCTTTATCATGAGTAGCACATTAAGATTCTATTATCTCCACCATGGGAATTCGATAATGAAGTAAATAGTGAACTTTTGTCCTCTCATACTTTATCAATTTAAGTATAACTAATTATGTTGTTCATTAACAATCATTGTTCACAAATGATTTTATCATTGGATTTCATTAGGAATGGTGTATATGTTAAGCATCTAGTAAGCATATTATCACTGAGCTGGAAGTATATATAAATCCAACTGATGAGAGTGCCAAATAAGAAGAAACGCATGCAACGTGATTCTAAACCATCTGAGATTTGTCTACCCGATATAAGTTATAACATTTAGTAAGCTTTCAAGATGAATAATAATCGGGAGAATGAGAATGAAGTTGTTATGCTTGGTAAATTGATATGCTTGAAACTACTATTACGAGTTCACCTTTGTTTCGGTAAACGAGAGCGAAGACAAATGATCCAGTGACACGATAGGCTACTCTAATCTGAGCATCACAAGCCCCCATTAACGGTATCAAAAAGTATTGACATATCATAGAAAGTGTATTCTATAAGCAACTGGAAAATCGAGGAGCATAAAACTTGACAGACAATTCATGATCTATACAGTTAGTTGACCGTGAATATTAACCAATAAGGAAACAACAATGAAAAGGATGTAGACTTGACCGTTTAGGATGACCTTAAATATTGACCAATAGGAATTGACCAATAGAATTAGACTTACGAGATAATTTCTTCAGAATATTTGATGAATATCCTAACTGAAGTTACCTAAAATAAGAAACAATGTACGTCAGCAGCAAATAAGATTGACGACTACTAAATTATTCACGGTATTCAGTTCTCTTTTTTTTTCTCATTCTTCTTGTCATTTCTAGATTGAAGTTGCTACAAGAAATCGATTTGAAAAATCTGAATGGTTTCAAACATTTTATCGTCCAAATGCTGTTGTCTCAGCTGCATTATTCTGTTATCCTAAATGTTCAGCTATCATCAATTGCAATATATCGGGAACATTATTAATTATTGCTTTAATATTTCTTTGCACATTTATTCATCGATTCTGAAACTAAGTCATTCAATTTTTTTCCGCTGTCCATACATCCAAAAACTGTCATCCTTTTAAAAAATTGAGTTTTTCTTTTATCTCAAATATACATTTACACATACAGTTCAATGTATATGAGAGTGTGAAATTCAAGTGACAATCGTCTTGTACTCTTGAATCTATATATAAATATGATAAACACAGTGCTTGTTTTAAACAAATCATTTTACAAAATATCCGCGCATTTTAAATTCAAATAAACATTTACCGAAAACGCAAATTGCATTTATAAATAATGTTAAGAGAAAATTCAAAATGTCAAGAATGTTTTTTTCTTTTTCTTAATTCCGAACAGTATTTGAAAACTGGCTTCCTTCTTGTTCAACATTTTGCTTCATCTTGTTTGTATCAAGCATGTTAGTTAATAATTTACATTGTCTATTGTCATTTATTATTTCTATAGAGTTTGCTGCAGCTCCTCATGTCTTTTTGTACAGATAGAAACTTTGAGTTTTGAAAAATATTTAACTACTTGTTAGTAGTATAAATTATATTACAGAAAAATCATGAGTCATTATTATTATTGTCTGTTACATTGCACAGTTAGCATAATAGAAATATGTCATTTTTTCTAAACCATTTTGTTTTAAATGTGTTAAATTATAAGACTATCAAAAGTTGTTCTTAGTTACATGTTTACTGAAGTTTTAATTATAAAACGTTTTATTAACTAGAACAAGACCATATTTCATATTATATGCGATAAATAAAGCAGTTTGTGAAAATGGAGCAGATATCCAATACCCAATATCTTTTTCGCGAGTTAGTATAAACCAGTTGATTTCTTTGTGCTCGATTCTTGTTCTTTCGGCACAGTTCCAGATGCTTGGTAGTTTCCAATGAATGGGGGTCTTGCCAATAGACTGTCAAATTCTAGTCAGTTGGCAATTGGTTGTGAGTTTGTATGTCTTGGGATTTGAATGAAAACGTTTGTTTCAGGGCAGTAGGGTTTCTGGATACCAGTAGCTACCAAATTGCCAGACCAGAGATCAGTTAGCTGCAATGTGGAGAGTAATAAGGGTAATAAGGATAAAATTCTAATGCTAATATAAATAAAATTTCAGAACTGATTATTATATATAGATGAATTTAGTTTGTTAATTGGTTGTGAAGATTGTGAGAGAGGGCCGTAGTGTAAGCAAGGAGGAGGGAATAGATGTGAGAGGCGAAATAGATCAAGTGATCTGAGGAGATGGCAATGATAACAACTAGCAGGTCTCAAGGTATGCATCATGAACAGCTTGTCCAAGAGGGAGATGATAATCCGTACGTGAGCAGCTGTTTATCAAGTCTCTTCTTAAAGCTGTCCACTGAGAGGGCAGTGGTCACCTTGACTGGGAGAGCATTTCAAGTTGCGACGACTCTCAATAAAGAAAAGTGTGCAAGAACCTGAGTATTCGTTCCTTGATGTGCAAACCTTCGAGGAGTGCCTCGAGTGGAGTGGTGGTGATGCATTGGTAAGATGCTTACATTGTGATGTACAACAAAAATTCAGACTAAGAATAATCGATTCTTAGATAAATGTTTCCATGAATTTTCTTCATCTGCATTTACAGGCATATAAACTCAATATATTACAGTTACATAAAATAGTTTACCTGAAAGGTTTTGTAAACAAGCACAGGATACAACGCACTGCTAGGATGCAGCTGGACGATCTGGACTTCGCAGATCGGGAACACAAAGGATGAATTTTTACAATTAAATCACATCTGAAACTCCAGACAACTATCAAGAAACAAAAAAGTCAAAATTTTCCATAAAAATATCAAGAAAGTTCTACTGTATAGGGCGGTGATTCGGAGAACGACGAAGGCTATCACCTAGAGGCTACAAGTGTTTATTACCAGTTTTATGCGCAAGATACTGAGGATCCGTAGGTTAGACACCATCGGTAACAACCTAGTGGGGAATAGAACCAGCCAGATTCCAGTGGGGAAAGGAATCAGGAAGAAGCGCTGGAAGTAGATAGGATACACATTGTGGACAACACCCTACTGCACCACGAGACAAGCCCTCATTCGGAAACCAAAAGGTTAGGGAAATTGAGGAAGAACAAAGTAAACATTACGGCAGGAAGGACAGAGAAGGTTGGGGAATGCTGGTCGGCAGCCTATGCTCCACTGGGGATTACAGGCGTAAGTAGGTTAGCAAGTAAGCATGGAATACCTTAAAAGGTTCCCTTACACAGCAATCATTGGTAATTAGTTCAGGAACCAAAATCTTATCAACTGTCATTCATTTCCTGACTATAGTGCCAGTCACCGAGATATCTTGGATTATAGTTCATAACTTGTGAAACAGTAGGTCATTTATTTTTATGTACGCAACTTAATAGATCCAATATCTTATTAATGAGCTAGTACAAACCATTTCATTTCTTTGCCCTCTATTCTTGTTCTTTCGGTACGGTTCCAGTATTTAGTGGTAGTCTAGCCATTTCACTGCTCTAAGTCTAGTCTCACATTTATGAATTTCTAAGTCCAGTGATTTGAATAAGTCTGGTTATCTTAGGTCAGTAGGGTTTATGGATAGCAGTGTAGTGAAACACTTCTACGAAGGAAATGCAATTGATGAAAAATAAACATAATTGCACTAGTGTTGTTTAACCGTACTAAAGACACTTACTTACGAGCGACGTTCTTTTTTCGCATTGCTGCCATCCTTCAGAACTTGCTGCTCACTGTATCGCCCACTTTCTCCTTCAAATATATTCTGTACCCCTGATTTATTTAATATGACGGGATAGCAATTGGTGATTAGTATTTAGTGGTGATCATACTCAATCTTGACTCGGTCACCGCTAAAGCAGCATCTCACGTTACCAGGCCGGAGATCTGTCAGTTTCAGTGTTGAAAATAATAAGGAGAAATGTCTAACGCCAGTAGGAATAAGATTCCAGAACTATGTAAATAAGTGGGAAAATTAGTTGATCATTTGGTTATAAAAATTATGCGAGAGGACTAAAGTGTCAGTAAGGAAAAGGAAAGAGAGATAATGTGCCATAGAGACTAAGTTTATGATCTGAGGAGATAGCAATAATAACAGATAGTAAGTTTTGAGATGTGAGTCAGGTACAGCTCGTTGAAGTGGAAGATGATGATCCGTATGTTAGTACGTGTTTATTAGGTCGCTTCTTGGAGCTATCCACTGGGTGGCTGTGATCACTTCTACTGGGAGAGTATTCCAAGTTGAGATAACTCCTCATGAGAAGACGTTGAGTACGTACCTGATTGTTCGCCCTTTGAAGTGCGAATTTACGGAAATTACCTCGTGGGGCATGGTAATACTTTGACAAGATGCATGCGTTGAGATTATAATGCTTGCCCTACATGTTGTGCGAAATTGTTAGACAACAGGTATTATTCAATCCCAGGATGATGTCCAGTTTTCCCATGCTATGAGGAGATTGGATGCACAGGGTATGACTTTCCAAAACTCATATTGAGCTTCACTGAGGATTTTGTTTTGTCCACTTGCTTCCCCATTTGCTCATTCACCAGTGCCTCCATTACCTTCGATAGTATTGGTAGTAATGCCACTGCTCTTTAACAGTCTGGATCCTCCCTGTCTCCTCCTTCAAAAATTGGAGAGTAAGGAGCTGTTGTCCGTTCCTCTTGGATTTTCTGTGACTCCTTTGCTGCCTGAAAAGGTTAAATTTCGGTGGACTGAGGGCTTCTGCATACTGTATCAAGACTATAGGGCGAATATTATAAAATCGTTTTGACTTTGTAGGACGCTCGTATTTCAGGTTTCTTAATACTTAGTAAGTCGAATATTTCCTTAGACTTCAGCTGGCAGTAAGTTTGAACAGTGCTCTGATTCTGTAGGTACCTGATGTAACTGATCGGTGAAGCTGGTGTTAAAGTCCTTAGCCATCTCCAGGTTGGTAAGTTTATCTCCATGTGAACCTTTGAGGACATGAACATCCTGACTAGTATGTTTTCTTCTAGCTATGGACCCAAAGTGAGATACTGTAACTGTTTCGAAATGCCGAGTAAGAATTACAATCAGAATTCTTCAAGCAGACCTTCCACTTTTGCCAGGCTCTCCTCTTCGCCTGTAGAAGGCACCTAGTGGCGTGACTAACCCATGTTGTTTTTCCGGGTGTGCGGTTTACTGAGGTCCATTAATTAGGGCAGAGTTCAAGTCTCCCACTGTTTACCAATGATCATCTGCTGTTTGCTTACACCATTTCGGTGGCCATGGGACGCTTAGAAGTTGCTTTCTCATGAGCATCAATTCGGCTCTAGTGTAAGACTTGTTTTCGCCCTGCCTCAGTGATTCATTTACGACCATGTTAAACAAGACCTTACCATGGTCGCTAATTCCTATTGGTTTATGGATGTGAGCATCCTCGACAAGGAGCTGATAATATGTTAATAAATAATCCGTGTTTGAGGATTTTCCCCCGTTAGTCCATCTAGTGGCGCTGCATACATGCTTAGTCATCCCAGAACTTCTAATGGCTGCGCCAACCAGGAGTCGTACCCTATTTGCTGGGATTTAGAGATGGGGTTGTTGAAATCTCCAGCTAAGTACATTTGACTGAACCTGAAGAAAGGTGGCTGCAATATTATCCCAGTCAGTTTGTCTTTCTGGGACTCAATACCTGAAGGAGGCCGCTAAATCTCTCCAATCAAGTATTTCGTGTCATGTGTGTTGAAACAACACCAACGTGTTTCTATGATCTCGGTTAGTTGGGTTCTGTATAGTCTTTCGGCTTTTAAATGGTTGTTGATATATATACTCGCTCTGCCTCCTGTCTGGTGTACCCTATCGCACGGGAGGAGTTTCGTGTCTTTTAATCCCCCTCCATCGTCTTCACTGTCGGAGGAAAGTCATGATTCAGTCAGGATTAAGATCTTCACATCTATCTGAGAGCACATACTCCTGGTTTCTAATAGCTTGCCCTTTAGTTTGCTTACGTTGCTTTAGAGAAATATGTTGGTTTGTCTTATCATGTGGTGCGCCTCTGCAGCAACAGACAGTGCAGTATCCCCAAACGAGTTATTCCAATCAAGTTAACCAGTTCTGTTGGAAGTTGCCTCTGCAGGTGCTTTGCTTGAGAATTGCATTTAATTGGAGAAACCATGATCTTTGAGCCTCGAGACGTGGATTGTTGATCGAGGTAAATTGATATGAGAGTGCGTTTATTTTGGTCTGCTGTTGTCTCGCAGAAGTAGGTCGGCTCTCGCAACATCTAGTGTGACCAGGGAGATCTTATTTCATGCTGTGCTGGTTAGGTCTTCCCAATATCTGAAGTCAACAGTCATCAGACGTGGAAACTTAATAGACATAAACTTTAACGGACCAGGTAGCCGCTAAACACTTATTGCCATGGTGGTGTGAAGGCCCATGCTACGTGATAGTCCTGGAAAATGTAGTCAGATTAGAAGGGTACCTCAGCCCCGGTAATATGCTTCAGGGAGATATATCATCCGGCTGTCCCCTCTTACTGTCAAGATTTTAATGGTCGATAGTAGCCATTTCCTTATCTTGTGTTGTTCATTTTTAACAAATTATTGGTCCCCACAAAAACCAATATGCCCCTAGTGACTATCATTTGTGATATTTTAGCTGCAACACTGATGTGGCAGACAGGTCTGTTGTAGTACCTTTTAAACATACCTCCATGTGGCATAACGAGTGTTAATCCTGTTACTCTAGTGATGAAATTCTAGAGGAAGAAGTATGTTTGGTGCTAGCCTCGTGATAAAATTCATATTGATCTTTTGTGAAAATGAGTACCAGCAGCATCTTTCCCGTCGACTGTTATTCACCATAGCTAAGTGGCGTTTAAGGAAAGATCTTGGTTTTTTGTTCAAATACGTGCCATGAAAGCGAAGTTCTCTAGCTTTTACTAGATCGCATATGTGAGTGAATGGTTTTGTTTAACTTACTAACAGACACAGCAATAATCCTTGAATAGGTCGCGCCAATTGTGGATTAATCATTTTACAATGGCTCTGCATACAGCGGTCTTCGTTTTGGTAAGTATAAGTTTTACATAAGCCCATATTATCGTTATTAGTAAGCAGCAAACCTATTTTTCCTCAGGCAATCTACCACCCTATTTTTATAACAATAGTCTGCTGTGTATAGTAGCAATGATTTATCATTGGAAATTTTAAAACTAGCTAAATTCCACTCACCCCATAATAAATCGTGACATTAAATTCTGAAGACTGTCTTCTGTTAGAGCTAGTCTTTGTATGCATAGTTTGTATTCTTGCATAACTTAGGGCCTCGTTTCTCAACAGGCATCACTATGAATTGAAAGCGCTCTATGTTTCATGATCATATCTTAGTTTTGCAATGGGTTATGACATTTGCGTGATGCTTACGCTATTCTGCGTTACAGGAATTCTTGCAGAATTACATCCTGAGTTATGCAGATACGATACCGTGGTTCGGGCAATTATTATTAGAGATAGAATGAGGATTTCCCTTCCATATACTACAAGACTGGGCCATAACATCCTGTAGTTTCCTACGATAAATATATGCAGTTCAGCGTAACGAGATAAAGCCCGTATTAATTTCCAACTTACGAGTGATTCAGTTAACTGAAACAGTTTCCGATAACCATATGTGGATAGCCATTTTGGCTAATTACTATTGGTGATAGTCTAAATAAACATACGATACTATATCATAAGTAGTCTTCACATGCTTCGGCTTGGTATAACTGGCCGAGTGGCTAGCAAGCTATAATATATGCGACTGCCCAACGCGCAATGCCATATTTATGTAGACATGACTGTTGGTACAAAGGGATACTCAAACGTTTATGCACCACATAAATGACAAATTTATGAGTGGGCTGGGGTGGTGCGTGCGTGTCCGAACCGACGCAGGTGGTTTTCTTGGGCGACTTTTCCCTGAGCCTTTAACACTGAGGTTCCACAAGGCAGTAGAGCGACGTCAGGTGCAGTTCCATGGTGGGCGGTGACCAAAGATAGGTTCTTACGCTATTTGTTCCTTCACGACCTTAGGGTTTTTTGTGCATCGTTGATTTGAAGTGAGGGTTTTCCAGCTCCCCTAGGTCGATTATCCGTATCCACCAACCCGGTTCAAGCCCCAGCCGTATGTTCATCTTTCGTCTTCTCTGTTTTGTAAAAAATCGTCTCTGATCACGAGGAGGAAGTGAGTCGGACTCCCGTGGCAGTAGCTATACACATGTGGCCATGTGAGAACATTTCAAAAAGAGGGAGGAATCCCCTCTCAGTCATATCAGGTCGTTTAGGGGCAAATGGTTGTGTGTAGTATATAGTCTAGTCAACTTAACTTGACCATGTTTTGTTGCCGCTCTCTGTTTAAAAGTATTATGACATCCTGTAGACAATATATTGATGCGATTTCCTTCTATTTAACATAAATAACATGAGAAGCCGTATAAGAGAAGTGATAAAACCAATAATAAAGTAAACTTGTGTATGAATCATATGACGAAGTAATCTAGTCCAGTTATTCAATCATGTACGTACTAATACTCCTAATGGAACTACTAACTAAACGCATACAAAATTTTCCGTGATTACATCAATAAGATTTTTCGAACTGCTTCTGTTAAAGATGCTCATCATGATCTAACTATTTACAAGTTGATTGATTTAGAATCTTTGTAAGTATTCACTATAAACCTGTTCTCAGTCTTTAATCCGGTTAACTATTTTATTAGACAATAATGTTGAAAAACATAGCGATCTAAAACAACTCACATTTATCCAAGATTTTGTGCCGTTTATATTTGTCTACTTATGTCGGGATTTTTGTTTAGTTTTTGCTATTTTGGAGTTTTCATTAACTAAGTTTTTAACTCAATATTCTTAACTTCTGTCCCATACTATCGTTTTGTAAGCTGATTACCAACTCGATATGACAAATAATACATAATATGAAAGTTCATAGTATAATGTGACAAAAATTCCAGTCCTATTAATGTTTCAAAATTGTGTCACTTGTTAACTTGCCCTCTTTACTGCTAATAAACATAAGCCATAATTATTAAGGTTCATTTACAAACGTTACCATGTCTAAATGATATTTTATAAATAGTCATTCTCAAACACCTATTCATCAAATGAGTACCCTTTGTGTAAGAAATTCTAACCACATCAAAACCGAAACATTGTTTTCCAGCCTTTTCGCATCCATACAATCGTTTCAACAAAATCATGTGTGACCTACATTCTTACAAGTAGATCCGAGTTAATCTTGTCTGTCTCTACCTCCAGAAGTCAAATAACTACCTACCTAAACATCCGAGCCCTAAAATTACCCGTTGCTAGTACTCAGGAATGAAAATTGGTTGTGCATAACAGACTATCTGGGAACATATTCTTGTTCGAAAAAATGAAATATAATCCTAACATCATCCGTCAATGCCTTTGCCGTTACATGGTTATACGTAATGTATGCCTGATAAATGTGACCGTATCTAATTTGTAAACAGTGGATAGAAATGTTAAATACATTCAGATCCTAAACGAAACTAAACTACTTTATTGTGATCAATTTTTTGAGCGTTTTGCAAGCTATAAGTAGTGTAAAGAAAGCCAGCATGTTGAATACAACATAATAGACTCACACTCTGACGACCATTACATTGTATAGGATAAATTTGAAGATAAATTCATGAGTAGTCTCACTCCATAATGGTAAAGTACTGTTCAAAATGTAGCAAGTCCCTGGCCAGTCTTTTTGTTTTCATGCTTCTGACGAGAGTGCAATACTCAGTAATGTCCAAGATATCCGAATTCATTTTGTATCTCTGCTTCGCTAACCGGTGTACATTATTATAATAGGATAGAATTTCCTGAAATTAACTTGTTGAATTGTCTTTTTAAAGTAATCCATTTGATATTTTAGGCGTCTTTGTAGATTGCTACTTGATGGGCTCTAAACATGGTATATAATTTCAGTGGCACATTAATGCTAGTGACTTTAAGGTGCTAAAGTAACCTTCGTCATATATAGTAGATGTCATTTCTACTTCGTACTAATGTGGGATTTTAATATCTTTGCAGAGATCTTTCTAAAACTTTCTGTTTGAGCACTCTGTACATGCAAGTCAAGCATTTGTAATTTCTGTTAGAAAAAAAAAATATGTTTTCTTATCATGTTTTCCGCAAAAAATTTCAAATTATTCATTATAGTTTAACTTATTATGTGATTCTCTTAGGTATGCTTTATCTTACATACAAATTTTGTATCCAGTGATTGTATTTGGTATGGTATTTGCAATTTTTCTGATCCTGCACACCCAAGATATTGTTCATACAATGGTACTGCAAAAGCGTTAAGTAATGATGGTCTCAAAATACTCTCCAGTCTTTGTCCTAATTATGCTGTGGGCAGTGCAAAAGTTTGTTGTAATGAAGAACAACTGACGTATTTTTCAAACTCTGCTTCACTTGCTGCTGCGTTATTAAAAAGGTATGATTTTTGCTTGTTTTCATAACACTCACAGATTGTTTTTATTTGGTATATGCGACAAACATAAGTTTGGTTGGGATTATTAGGCCAGTGGAATAAGCATTCATTAGATTGGGTATCACTTTCAAGTAGACCATAAATTATCCCAAGTTATTTGTAATGTAAACATCTGACCACTTTCACATACTTTGGAATAGTATCTTTGTACCTTTGTATTCAGATCAGAGAAGCTCTAGATCGTATTTTACTAGTAATTTTCGTTTATTTTATGACACTTATGGTCAAATAATAGCTAACATTCATATTTGGACTGTTTCCAAGAAATGGTTATTTGGAAACATAACTCGTCGAAAAACTTACTGTACTATTATAGGAAACATCAACTTACGCCTGTTATCCCTTATGTAGCATACGCCGCTGTCAAGCAGCAACCTTCAACCTAGTCTATGCTGGATTATTCTTTCCAGTTGTTATCGAGGGCTACTTATTCTTTGGATGTTTACGTCCAATTCCCCGCGCATTGTGTTCTTTGGTCTCCCCCCCTTTCCCTTTTACTTGAAGATCCCAAGTTAGGGTAGCATAGTTTGGTGGCTTTTTCAACGTGTCTTGTCTACCTCCAACATTTATTCCTCAGCTCGTATCTGGTTTATTCTCTTCCACAGTAGGTTGTTGCTGACAGATTATAATATCTTCGTCGTTGCCGAACTATAGTAACAGTCATACTTTTAACTTGCTTATTGCATTGTTTATGTTAAAATGCCTACATTTGTATGTTCTTATTTTTCTAAGTAAATATTTGATAGATAGAGTTCTCTGTTTACAATCTTTTTCTATTTTTAAGTTAAAACTTAAGGAGACACGCATTTATACTAGGCGTCATACCGTTTATAAATGAATAACTATTTTCTAAGCACTTTTATCTGCATTGAAATTTACTACGTAAGCAATGCGAACATTCCCGACCGTTTCTGTTATCTTGACGTGGTAGTTGGGCTTTCCTATTGTGTTAACCCAACCGCGCTAATTAGCTGGAATATACATCCTTTCACGTCCTACCATGCCAGGCAGGTCAATTGGAGAACGGTAAGACTAAAAGCACCAACTCGATGTCTGGGAGAAAAGTCGTACTGATGACTGTAAGGGGGATGTGAGGTATTTCCCTCTCAGACAGATAGCATCTGTGGCGATGCTACCTCTTCAAAACAGAAAGAAGGAGTTAGAAAAGGTTTACGCTGAGAATTTCACACCTAACTTTACCCGATGGATTTCGGTTCCTTGTGGTGTAAAGCATTTTGAAGAGCAAAGCTAGCACTTCAAAAACTTCCCATGTTAAAACTATGCATAACACCGGCCTGAAGCAGTTGTCCCTTGGGCTTTGCGGTCACACTCCCTTGTCGTTAAGACCAACCCTAATCCAACTTTATTTTCAGATTCCTCAAGAAACAACCTTCCACAGTACGTACGGGAAACCTGGAAGTGACATCCGCCTTCATCCCCGTAACAACACATAATGAGATCAACTTGCTCACAATGAAATCCTTCCCCACGACTAACTCTTTTCACATTCCTCCAACACTTGGCTGCGTTGATGCAAATGATTCGAGTACACGAAATGTTATTCCTGATCCTATCTAATCCGATGGTTAGAGACTTTGAATGTGATATGGCTCAAAAATTGTTTGTACTAGCGCAAATGCATCCATTATTTATCTTCTCTTAAATTCTAATCTTCTGAATTCCTCATGACCGTTTTCTCCTCTTTGTTTTAAAAAAATCTTTCATACTTCTCAGATCGTTATCTTCAAACTTTAATCTTCTCCATTACCTTTAACCCTTGTACTATCTCTACTACTATGGGATTCGAATTGACTATTGCATTTCTGTGTGTCAATGTAGTGTGGTAACTTGAACTCTAATGTACATAGTGTTATAATACTGCTATGTAGCTATTCAAATCCTACCGACATCCGAATTCAAATATTCCTCCAATACAACCCATATACTATTTCCAAATCACCTATATATATCAGAACGCAACACCGTTGAATGGAGTTGTTTATTGGATCGAGTACAGAACAGAAGTAAGTAGGCAGCAAGGAACGGAAACGGAATGATGAAGTCTTTTACACATATAGTGCGTATTTATATACATTTAGGTCGAATAGAAAATTAGTATCAAAGTCTGTGACATTATTGACAGTTTAGGACGACGACCAATAGGAAAGAACATTTGAAATGACATTGACAGTCTGGATGACCAATCAGAGACAAGACATTGAAGTATTTTAGACTTTGACAGTTAAAACGATCAATAGAAATCGACCAATGGGATTATACTTCCAAAAATAGTAAGTAGTACTCTGGTGAATATCCTAATACAACATACATACATACGTACGTACGTACGTACGAAGTTCTACACCTTGTTATAGCTGACTGAATACTATCATATCACAATCTCCAATTAGTATGTTCGGTTTTTTCATTCATGTATATTCACTTTTAAAAAAAATCATAATTCATTCTTTTATGAGATGGTGGAGAAAACTTGTAGCTCAGGTGGATGATTGTGGTGGTGTTTCGTTCTCTGAGCTGGTTGTTTTTGGTTGTGGAGTTTCATTGTTCTTCTTCTGAACAACATCATCGTCTGCACAAACTTCATGGTAGAAGTGAAGTATTCGAATTTCTCCACGTTTGACCTGTAGCTTGTTCTGCTAACCTCGATCTTGATTGGTTGTTGTTGACCTTAAACCTGTAGCTGTTTGCACCTTTGTCTCGATTGTATCCCCTTTTGATCTGCTTCTTGATCCTATGTCACTTATGGTTTTCCTGATTGGTTGATAAATTGAGTCAATGTCGATGTGTGTTTCTTGTTCTTTGTCCTCCCCCTACCCAGTATTTCCACATTGTTCCAATCAAATGTGTGTCCATAATTGTCGGTGTGTATTGATATAAGCGAAGCGTTGTCGTGGCGTTTGACTGTTAATTGATGTTCACGTAAACAGAGCTGGAGAGGTCGTCTACACAGTTTGAGCAGTTGTTTATTTTGTAGATTATATTTGGTTTTTCTTCCTTTGTCATTTTGTCCTTTGGTCTACACCATAGGATTGATTGAAGTGATTCTGGTTGGTTTGTGTGTGGTAGAACAAGCTACAGGTCAAACGTGGAGGAGAAATTCGAATGCTTCACTTCTACCATGAAGTTTGTGCTGCTGTTGATGATGTTGTTCAGATGAAGAACAATGATGAAAGCTCCACAACCAAACCACATCCAGCTCAGAGAACGAAACACTACCACCACCACCACAATCATTCTTTTATTTATCTCATTTCTTCTCCTCTGTTTTTTGTTTTACTAATAAATAAATTCTTCTTATTCTTATTCTTATTATAGATGTCCAGCATGTTTTGCTAATTTTCGACTACTGTTTTGTGCTATGACATGTGATCCAAATCAAGCAGAATTTATTACACCTGTTATTCAAGAGAAATTAGTTGATTCTATTACTTATACATTAACTGATCATGTGGCTGATACATTTTTCAATAGTTGCAAGGTAATAAATATTTGTAATATAATAATGATGAGTGGATTGTTTTTTTATAATTTCTGTTGTTTAAATTCTAGTGGCAGCAGTGTATTAGTGAACGAGAACACAGGTGAGGGCAACTGAATTGTATTTACCCGAAAATTACAGAGTTAGTTACTCAGTAATAAAATAGGGAAAAACCATATCGCGTAAATTGTTCATTTGCAAAATATCAATCAGTTCATCATATCGAACTAGAGGACTGTTGTTCCTGTTGCAAAACATCAACAATCCATTGTCACTCACTATTCATGCTATTTCATACACAAATTCCATTGTGTTCTTCTAACTCTTCTTCCTTTCTTGTTGATCTTCCCCCATCTTCTGCTGCTGCCACCAGACATTACGTTGACACTCACGTCATATACTACTACTTATAAGTATCTCATACCACAGCAGTAATAATTCGATTTTCATTTATAGCTTACGAAGTTTGTATAATATTCAGACAATCTTATTTAATAACTGGTATTGTTGAATCTTGGTGTGTTATTATTGTCAGTAGCATACTTGTCTAATAAGTACCTGGGTAGGAAAAGCTAAATAGTATTGATTACTGGCGCGCTCGCACACACACACACACACACGGTGCATACGCTCAGGTTGCCATTACCATATTAGCACAGAGATGCAATTGTCAATTCAAATCCCATAGTAGTAGAGGTAATATAAGTATGAACAGTAATCAGAGAGATTAGGGTCCGAAGATATGATTCTAGAAGTTGTAATTCAGTGAAATAAATATAGAATGAGAAAGATAAAGGTGATGAGGGATTTAGAAGATTAGAACTTGAGTGAAGACAAAGAATAGTGAGCAATGTCGTTCAAGGTCTCTAAGCATCGGTTACTATTGTCTCGGAGACCTTAACCAGGTAGTGTACACCTACCGACATAACTCAGTCCACTTGCCAAGGACTTCATAGATTTCTGCCATGTTTTGGTTTAGCCGCCCCTAGCTTTCCTTCAACCTACTCTTACACTGCGAAACATCGTTCGTCAAGCCAGTCGGTGGTTAGCCATACGCAACACATGTCCTAACCACCTCAACTGATCAAGTTTCAATGCTTCATCTATTGATTTGCCATCCTTAACTAGTACTCGTTTCCTAATGAAGACATTGTTTACTAGGCTGTCCCGGGGATACACGAGCAATGCTTCGAAGACACCTATGGTCGAATACTACTAACCTGCGAATATCCTCAACTTTTACTAGCCATATTTCACATCCATATAGTAAAGACGGAGCGAACTGTTGCGTAGTGAGAAACCAATACACTCAGTATAATCTTTTTTTAGTTTACTGTATCGTTTTAATCTTGTCGTAATTTCAACCTGCCTGCACATTACAATCACTTTGTATTAGATTATGTGATTATTATTCTCAAATAATTTACTAAATTTCCAATACATTCGATCGTGTAGTATTTCGAATCAAAAATGTTGTTTGTAGTGGATTTGAATAAATGAAACTTGACTAATAAGCGACCCAAGGACAGTGATTATAAAGGAATAAGTTAGTTGAATTTGATTTAACTATTGTGCACTGGAGTACGTAATTTAAGTAGTGTAGGACTTTCAGTAAAACGAGTTTTAGGATGATTTCCAGTATTTATATTGGGAGTTTGTTAAGTTCGTCACTAGGTACGCTTGAAGCGTTTACGAGTTCACCTTAGTCGATAAACGCGAACGGGACAATCACCAGCATTCAGGTAGGCTACCTTGATCGCAAACTGCAAAAGAGAAATCTTGATAAGGGTAGAAAGTATATTCTACAACACCTAGCAAGCTCAATACAATCAAGCACACAACTCTCGTTTATTTATACATCATAGAAACATCCTTGGGACAGTCACAAAAATAGCACACTAAAATAAACAGCAGTCAGTCGCAGCCATGGATTTCCCTGGTGGGAAATGAAATCTCAAGGTCAACTGATCAGCCCATGCTGGCAAACGTCGAATCCAAGACAAAGCATTTATCAAGCGAATTTTGGGGATCTAACATCCCCAACAGAGTTGTCATAGATCAACCCTGTTTTGTGTTACCAAAATCTATTTAAAAGTGATGTCTCTAAAGTGTTTTAAGCTGTTTTCGTCTCTACCGTATGATCGTTAATGATTTTAGCTGCATAATATAGCGTATATTTCCTTTGAGGTTAGGGATACTGTCACCCTTAACTCAGGTCTCATATGGTTGAAAAATGAAAATTTCGGTATTGCGATAAAATCATTGCCCGACATGTGACAAAAGGTAATCAGGGTGTTTAAGCCCCCATTTGCATCAAGCTGAGCTGCATCTCTTGCTATCTTATGCCATACAATGTGTATACCGTATGCTATACTGCTATATAGAGGTGAAGGTTTCCTATGAGATCGGAGGTTTGCTGTGATGAACATTGTGGATAACTTGGGATTGTTTTGGTAAGTATTGCTAACAGTCCACATACAAAACTGGTTAGCAGGGTGACCGATTTCATTCATACTGATGCTGGTTGTTTCGCAACATTCCCCAGGGTCATTGTCATTGGGGTGCTGTTTTGTGGCATATCACCGTTGCTAATAATAATGAGTTTGTGACAGTCATGTAGGTGAGATGGGTTGAATTGACGCGATTATGGATCAGAAATAATCACTATATATGTACTAGTGTATATATAAATGGTGTGAATGGTCGTCCACCAGGGTATCAGGTACCTGTATATGATTGCACCACGGAATTGAACCGAACTGTTCCCATTGAGATGCTAACACGTGGTCAGTAGTCTCCTTGGTTCTCCTAAAAACCAAATGTAAAATCGCCATTGACAATAGAAGATTAATTTGTAGAAAAATTAGGTTAGCTATGTAGTTTTGTGCGAAATATGAGAATATACATATAAATTCTAAGTCATTGTTTTTACAAACTTCCAAAAACAGATAACATATTCTCGTGCACTAGATGACAGTTAGCATTAGAAGCTAGAACACCACTATTCGTCTTATTCGACACTCAACTACCTGAGAATGTACTTAAATTAGACAGGTGTTGGTTGGTGTTTTCACACTTGAACTCATATCCATCACCAGTAATAAACACTGTTCTTTTTTTCTTTCTTTATTTAATAGGATGTTACATTCGGTAATGGTCGTGCAATAAGTTTAATGTGTGGTACCGATAAGTGTACACGTCAATTATTATTAGATAATATTGGTAAATCAACTGATGGTGGTCAGAGTCCATTCGATATACGATTTAATGTTGTTCCTAGTGTCAATTTATCAATGTATACAAATTCTTCTTCAACTATTCGACCATTTGATACGATAGTTTATCAATGTAATCAACGTGTACCAAAACGTGCCGATGATGTTGGTGGTCCAGCATGTTCATGTATGGATTGTTCCAGTGCATGTTCATCGGGACCGCCGGATTTACCGCCACAACCTAGTGAACCGATAGAAATATTTGGTAAGGCTTTTTTTCTGTTTACTTTGTCATTTCATTTTGATTTTGACAAATCACATATTTGCATTGCATTTTTGAAACCATGAATCGATCAATGTTAGACCATCACCATTAGAAACCTGGAAGCACTGCAAGACGGCCGTCTCGTCCCACAACGGGACTCCTCAGCGGTGCGCATCCACAGCTCCTTCACCCCGCTGGATTCGAACTCAGGACCCTCGTTATTGTAGGTGAACGCCTAACCATCGGACCACTGAGCCGGTATCTAACAGTGTAAATGTCTAACTTCAATCAATTCATGGAGTTGCGCAACCTCATACACAGTCTCCGGTAGTTACTGTCTACACCCGAACAGGTTGAACTTCACTGGTCAAGTCTTTCCACTAGATCTCGGAGAAGATTCCTCACGAAGCTAGTCGCTAGTGAGCACAGGTAATTTGTATTACGGGGTTGTGAAGATTGTTAAGTTACACATTTTTGAAACCATGAATCGATCGATGTTAGACCATCACCATTAAAACCTGGAAGCACTGATAGACGGTCGTTTCGTACTGGTATAGGACTCCTCAACACCGTTAAATACCGGCTCAGTGGTCCAATGGTTAGGCATTCGCCTACAATACCGAAGGTCCTGGGTTCGAATCCTGCGAGGTGCAGGAGTCGTGGATGCTCACTGCCACTGATGAGTCCCATACCAGGAAGAAATGGCCGTCTTTCAGTGCTTCCAGGTTTCTAATGGTGGTGGTCTAACATTGTTCGATTCATGGTTTCAAACATGTGTAAATCACATATTTATCATGACTAAAAATAATTATTTGGTTTGTCCTTGATGAGAATACATGCACTGATCTGCGAAAACTCTGTAACCTGTGACTCCGTCGTCACGTTAGATTAGCTTTACTGGAATTAAATGTTTGTGAATTTTCCTTGTCCCTAAGATGTAAGATGATGATGATGATGATGCGCGTAACAAGCGTATTGTCAAAGTAGGAGGGATAACATTGTTGTACTGTAAATTTTGTAAATTAAAGCTTTTATAACCTTAGTTCAGTTATTGAATTGAATATTCATTAACATCGTTAGCTGCCGGCTCAGTGGTCTAGAGGTTAGGCGTCCCTGTGGGTGGGGGTCGTAGATATGCTCCTGCTGACAAGTCTCATACCAGGACGAAACGACTGTCCTGTGCTTCTCGGTTTTCAATAGTGGTCTAACAATGACCGTCGATTCATGATTTCAATTAATTCACCTTCTAACAATGTTGAGTTGTTTAAAATGACTGTCTTTCAATCTGAATGTTTCTGTAACAATAATGGTCCAGTAACAATGTAAAGTTAAATCATCCAATTACGTAACACCGTATCAATCAATTTGTGATTGAAAAGTTCCTGTCATAATAACCAAGAACAATATAAATGTTAATTTCTAATTTAACTAAGAAGAGGTTGGTGTATTCTAGGCAAGTAGTCATTTGTGTTAAAGTAAGTTGAAAGAAAGCTAGTGCTGAGGTTATTGGCTTATTGGTTTAAGACATAGTGCTTGATTCAGACTGCTTGATTGAGATTCTCATAATAACTGTAATGTCTTTGATTGATACTTAATTTTACTTACGTCTGTTACCCTCAGTGGAGCGTAGGCTGACGAACAGCATTCTGCAACCTACTCTATCCTGGATCATCTTTTCCAGTAGTATCCAATTTCTGTTCATTTTTTCCATGTTTGTTTCCGATCCTCGGTGTAATCTACTTTTTGGTCTAGCTCATTTCCTTCGGCCTTGAGGATTCCAAGTGAGGGCTTGTCTTGTGATACAGTTGGGTGTTTTCCTCAATTTGTATCCAATCTACCTCCAGAGCTTTTTGCTGATGTCTTCCCCTGCTGGTATCTGGTTTTTTTCTCCCCTACAGTAGGTTGTATAAGTTTATCTCACTGGATTATACTTCTTGAATAGTTTCCTTGAACCGTATGCTTCTACTACATCTACTACTATGGGAATCGAATTGACAATTACATCTCTGTGCTAATATGGTTTGGCGATTTGAACTGATGTACTTACGTACGAAGTTCTACGTTGTTACTTACTTACTGACTGACTGTCTGATAGTAGGTTATTGCTGATAATGTCTAACCAACAGATGAGGAGTATCGCGCATAGACAACTGTTAAATAAATAACTATATCTTCCGGATAATGACTTTCGTAGTTGTCCAACTTACCACTCTATACAGTAGGACTGTACTGACATTTACATTGAAAATTGTGACTATGTGTTACTATACTGTTGTAACGCTTGCTTAGAATAATTATTCCCAGCTAAATCCTATTGCTTAGTAGTATTCTCTGACCACACAATACACTGGACAAGTTCCAAAGAATCAAGAACACGGTGGAACAGGAAAAGATTATATTGCAAATAGCAAGGTTAAATGGAAATAAGAAGCCAAAGGTGATGGCGAAGGCAAAGAAGACCAAAAATAGATACAACGTTTGTCTATTTATAGCATTTACACGAGAAAGCTTCTGGATAGAAATTCACGTAATCGACTGGATTAGATTTAACCAATCAGCATGGAGCTAACAATACGAGAATTTTCTACCCTGTTCTCCAAGAATCGATCAGGCGTTGATTGGATAGGAAATTAACCAATCAGCGCGTAGCAACGTAGTCATGCTTTAATTCCATCTATGCTCCCCACTAACAATTTTTTTTTCTTATTAAATAATTGAAACTACCAATTTTTTTCAGGTATCAGTGTTTGGCTATTCAGTGGTTACATCATTTTCTCAATATTAACAATCATTTTTGGTACATATCAAATTGCAAAACTTGTTGTTTATGGTCAGAATCACGTAACAACAACAACAACACCAACAACTAATCGTAGTCGTTGTTGTACTCGTACATCTCAATCAGATACAGAACATCTTATACGTCAACCAGAAGAAATACAGCATGAAAGAAGTCAGCCAGAAGGAAGAATTTGTTTATTGGCCTATTTAACAGCATATTTTGATAAAATAATGACAAAGGTATGATGGTGGTTTTGTTCATTTCTAAAATATTATTTTATTTAATCTATTACTTTTTTTCAGAAGGTTCAATTGGCTTTTGACAATCTTTGTTAATTAAGATGTAGGTGAGATATGCCTGTTTACTAGCCACAAAGTACGAGTGTACTGTTGAGCAGAAGTTTGCTCCGTCCTATTATATGGATGTGAAACATAGCCGTTCAGAGTAGATGACATTCATAGGTTACTGGTTTTCGATCATAGGTGTATCCGAAGCATTACTGGTATACCGTGGGACAACCGAGTAAGCAATGCTATCGTTAGGAAACGAGTCCTAGTTAAGGATGGCAAATCAATAGATGAAGTAGTTAAACTTCATCAGTTGAGGTGGTTGGGACATGTGTTACGTATGGCCAACCACCGACTGCCTCGACGATCTATGTTTTGTGGTGTAGGAGTAGATTGGAAGAAAGCTAGGGGCGTCCAGACCAAAACATGGCAGAAATCCATGAAGTCATTGACTAGTGGACTGAGTCATGTTGGTAGATGTAGACTACCTGTTTGAGGTCTGCGAGATAATAGTAACCGATGGTTAGAGGCGTTATACGATATGGCTTAACATCGTTTTCAATGGCACAGGTGCTTCCACTCTTTGCGTTCTCTCTCCTCATAACCTCCATCTTTCTCTTTTCAAATTTATTTCACTGATTTATACTTCTTGAATAATATCTTCGAATCCTAATCTTCTTCATTACCGTTAATACTTTTACTGTCTCTAATGTTATGGGATTTGAACTGACAATTACATACTAATGTGGTATGGCAACTTGAACTAACGCACATATGTACGAAATGTCAGTTGAGTTGGTTGGAACACATCTTGCGTATTCCCAACCACTGGCTTCCTCGATGGGTAATGTTTTGTGATGTAGCGGTAGGGTGGAGGAAAGCTAAGGGTGGTCAAACCAAAAACATGGCAAAAATTCATGAAGTCATTGACAACTGGACGGAGTCATGTTAGTAAGAGTAAACTATCTGGTTGGAGTATATGCAACAATTATAATCGATAGTTAGAGACTGAATCGCATGCTTCAAAATCGTTTTCACTAGCTCAAGTGCATCCATTCTTTGTCATCTCTCATACTCTCATGAGCTCAGGACTTTTCTTTATCGACAATCGAGGTGGATCCGATGCAGATGTGAGGGCGCGGATTGGCAAAGCAAGGGCTGCATTTCTACAGTTGAAAAATATCTGCAACTCCAAACAACTTTCAACCAAAACCAAAATCAGGATTTTCAGTACAAATGTCAAGACAGTTCCAACGTATGGAGAGGAAACTTGGAGAACTACCAAAGGCATCATCCAGAAGATACAAGTATTTATTAACAGTTGTCTACGCAAAGTACTTTGGATTCGTTGGCCAGACACCATCATCAACAACGTACTGTGGGAGAGGAGAACAAACCAGATTCCAGTGGAGGAAGAAATCAGGAAGAAGAGATGGAAGTGGATAGGACACACATTACGAAAAGCACCTAACTGCATCACAAGACAAGCCCTTACATGGAACCCTCAAGGCAAAAGGAAAAGAGGAAGGCCAAGGAACACATTACGCCGAGAAATAGAGAAAGACATGAGAGGAATGAACAAACATTGGACAGAACTGGAGAGGGAAGCCGAAGGACAGAGTTGGTTGGAGAAAACTGGTGGGCGGCCTATGCTCCATTGGGGGTAACAGGCGTAAGTAAGTATACTTCTCAAATCATATCTTAGAATCCTAATCTTCTTCATTACTGCTAATAAATACCCGTACTATTATGGTATCTCAATTGGACAATCCAATCACTTTGCTAATGTGTTAACAGTAACTTGAACTGAACTGTACGTACGTACATCTGACTAACATGGTTTTACACTTTACCCCCATATATGTGGTAATGAAGAACTATTTCATACATTTCCTAGTTATCATTGGTCAATTTTTTTAAAATTTTTATTGATTTAAAATTCTCTCTTATTAGATGTTTTCATCACATGGAAGAATGATTGCTCGTCATCCATTAATGGTATTATTGATTTCATTGGGTATAATACTTGCACTTGCTGGTGGTCTAGCTTTTCTACAAGTTACTACTAATCCAGTGGAATTATGGTCTGGTGAGGAATCACGTTCTAGACTAGAGAAAAATTATTTTGATCAACAATTTGGGTGAGTTTTTTGTTTTTGGTTTTGTTTATCGAAAAAAATCGATTCATTGTACCTGGTTGGGGGGTGGTCCACGAGACGATAGTCACCGATGGTTAGAGACCTTGAAATGACATGGATGAACATTGTTTGCAATGGCGCAGGTGCATCCACTTTTGTGTTCTGTCTAATTCTAACCTAATGAATTCCTCATCATCTCCATCTTTCTCTTTCACAATTTATCTCACTGAATTATACTTTTCGAATCATATCTTCGCTCCCCCTAATCTTCTCCATTGCTGTTAATAATTCTACTATCGCTATCACTTTTGGATTTGAACTGACAGTTACGTCTCTGTGCTGATGGGGCATGGCAACCTGAACTGATGTACTTATGTACGAAGTTCTGCGTTGTATCTGTCTGTCTGTCTATCTATCTATCTATTCAATGCATATTGATGAGTATATAGAGTAGTTCTGTGTTTTGATGATTGAGATACTTAACATCGAAGTCAGAATTTCCAATACAAATGTCAAGACAGTTCTAATGTATGGGGCGGAAACACTTGTAGAACTGCGAAAGCCATCATCCATGAGATACACAAGTATTGATTAACAATTGTCTACGCAGAATACTGCCGATCCGTTGACCAGATATCATGAGTAACAACCTACTGTGGGAGAGAACAAAACAGATCTCAGCAGATGAAGACATCAAGAAGAAGAAGAAGCTTTGGAGGTGGGTAGATAAGACATGCATTCAGGAAATCATCTAACTGCAACACATTATGCCCGAGAACTGGAGGCAGACGTGAAACCAATGAACAGTAATTGTTTAGAATTGCAAAGAGCAAGCCAAAAACAGTAGGTTGGAGATTACTGGTGTTAGTGGGGGGACATAGATGGAACTAAAGCATGGCTACGTTGCTACGCGCTTATTGGCTAATTTCCTATCCAATCAGCGTCTGATCGATTCTTGCAGCACAGGGTAGAAGATTCTCGTATTGTTAGCTGCATGCTGATTGGCTAAATCAAATACGGTCGATCACGTGAATTACAATGCAGAAGCTTCTCATGAAAATACTATTAAAGAATCTAACGTTGTATCTATTTTGCCTTCGCCTTCGGCTTCTTATTTCCATCTAACCTTGCTATTTGGAATATAATCTTTTCCTGTTCCACCGTATTCTTGATTCTTGGGAACTTGTCCAGTGTATTGTGTGGTCAGAGAATACTACTAAGCACAATAAGAATTAGCTGGGAATAATTATTCTAAGCAAGCGTTACAACAACTAGTCAGCAGCAGCCTATGCTCCATTGGCAGGTAACAGGCGCTTAAGTCAGTAAGTAAGTAAGTAAGTAAGTATATGGAGTGTAAAACCTTACACAATTAGTATTGTGCCAGTTAAAACTATCAAGTTTTTTTGGAATTATTAAATTACTGTATTTCATTGTTTCATGATTTTATCTTCTTCTTCTTCTCCAACTGTAGGGCATTTTATCGAATTGAACAAATCATTCTACGTCCTAAGAATACTTCAAATTTCACGCATAAAGCATTAGGTGACGCTTCAGGTGATGCGTTATTTGGTGCTGGACTTAATAAAACTTTTCTATTGAGAGTAAGTTTTTCTTTTCTTTTTTTTTAATTATTATTTTGCTCCTGTTACGCCTGCACGCGTAACCACACGTCAACTTATTATTATTATGAGTTTACCTTTGGTCGGAAAACCAGAGATCGGGCGGGGACCGAGGATCATCCGGTGACACGACATACTACTCAAATTCAATTATCCCAGCCCACCCCCCATAATAAATAAAAATAAGAAGACTTGATATGAGGTAGAACTTGTTGTATTCTACAAGCATTCCGAAAGTAAGAGGTCCGGATCCGGGACCGAGCCCTGGTCGTGGTCATAAAATGTTATAATAGATAATGCGTATTTATACATTTTGGTCGAATAGGAAAACAGCATCGAATTCGGTGACATTGACAGTTTAGGACGACGACCAATAGGAAGTAACCATTTGAAATGACATTGACAGTCGTCCGGATGACCAATAAGAGACAACATTGAAGTATATATGACTTTGACAGTGAAAACAACCATAATTTTGACCAATAGAAATCGACCAATAGGATTTGACCAATAATTCTCTTAAGATATTTGTTGAATAGCCTAACATCTCCGAATCCTATCTATCAGATAAATTGATAAACGGATGAACTATATTCTATTATTTTTACATAACTAGGGATACATTTCTGTGTCTAGTGTCAGTTAATAACGAAATCAAGTTTATGGCTGTGCCTCAACGAGGTCACGTGCTATCGAATACGCTATGATGTTGAATTACCTAATTTATTATTACTCAGTTCGTTTACCATTTAAAGATTTATATACATTGAAATCATGAATAAATCATTGTAGACCACCAGTATTAGAAACCTGGAAGCACTGGATGACTGTTTCGTCCTGGTACAGGTCTCATGAATGACAGTCCATATCTACGACTCCTGCTACTCACAGGATTCGAGCCTCAAGACCTTTCGGTCTTGCGCGTGAATGTCTAAGCTCTGGGAAGAAAATATGGCTTTGAACCACATGATTAGTGTAAAATCTATCCAAACCCAAGTAGGTGTAGTGAGATTCAGATATGTGGTTTATTAACTTAGAGTAAAACATCCTAATCACCGTACCATCGCTCTGTAGCACAACAGCTGGATCAGTTGCTCCAAGGAACCAGACTTATTCATTCGCATCATGTCAGTCTACAGTGTTGATAATTTTTTTTCTCAACTGGTAACATGATAATTTAATGCTTATATTCCTTTTTCTCAACAATAACCGAATTCATCGAATTATCTTCTCCTAGAAATGTTGAGTTGATTGGTTAATTTGATACATCAGCTTGTTCTTATGAATTAATCGATTTTTTTCGGGTGACGAGTGTGTGATATGGTGGTTAGGGGTTAATGTTGAGAAAAAAATGGAAGGCTTATGCGAACTGTGTTTCCTTCAAGCAAATATGTAAAGAAGCTGGTTGGTTTATTGGTTACGGTAATTAACTTCCAGTTATTGTAATCTCAGGTTCAAAATATCTCTTTACGTGGGTTTAAACAACCGAGGATATCATCAATAACCTTCATATTAAGAGTTGTTACGCACGCACGTAAACACGTCATTTGATATGCTTGAGCGATTACGAGTTTACCTTAGTCGGAAAACGAAAGTGAGCATCCAGCTACATGACAGGCTACTCTAATCCGATTGTCCCAAATCTCCCCGATTGAGTAAAAGAAGACAAGACTTGATATGAAGTAGACAACGTGTATTCTACAAGCATTCACAAAGTACGAGGTCCGAGTCCAGAAGAGAATCAGAATCCTAGACCAAGGCATCCGGGTCCGGGTCATAAAACGTTACAGATAATGCATATTTATACATTTAGGTCGAATAGGAAACAACATTTGAAGTATGTGACATTGACATTTAGAACGACCAATAGGATATTGGATGAATAACCTAACAGTCAGAAGAAGTAGCATCCTGCCTCATGACTTTCGACACAATCTCAGCTTTCATCATCAGACGTCATCATTCTTCTAAATGAAGACCTACAGGACAGGGTTTGCCAACCCCATGGTCCCCCCAACCCTCCTTCTTGTTATCCGGGGCCTCAGACCGGCGATAATCTTAAAAACAGCGACTCTAGGCAGAGTTATGTTCAATGTTATCGTGTTGTTATTGTTCTCTTAAATACTGATTTTTTTCTTTCCTTTTCTCAACTAACACTAGGCAGTGGATTTACAAAATCGTATTCAATCTATTGAAGTTTATTATGAAGCGGAAAATAAATCGATACATTTATCTGATCTATGTTTTCAACCATTAAAACCAGATAATCATGGTTGTGCTATCACTAGTCCAATTGAATATTTTCAAAATAATATGACTTTATTTAATACAGTTGTAAGTTGTGTTGATTGTTTAATTTTATTGTATTTATTTAATGTGTAGATTTGTCGAGATTGTATGATTTTTTTTGTATAGGCAATGAGATGGTGGAGAAGATTTGTAACTCAGATTGATGATTGTGGTGGTGGTGGTGGTGGTGTTTGGTTCTCTGAGTTGGATGTGGAGCTTCCTTCATTGTTCTTCATCTGAACAACAACATTATCAGCACAAACTTCATGGTAGAAGTGAAGCATTTGAATTTCTCCTCCACGTTTGACTTGTAGCTTGTTCTGCTAATCTCGATCTTGATTGGTTGCTGTTGACTTTTGACCTGTTGTTGTTTGCAATTATGTTTTGATGGTATCCCCTTTTTGATCTGTTTCTTGATCCTATGTTTGCTTATAATTTTCCTGATTGGTTGATAAATTGGGTCAATGTCGACGTGTGTTTGTTGATTGCTGATTGAATTGTGAGTGCCAAGCTTCTAAAAATTCCTTAGTGTTCTTTGTCCTCCCCCTACCCAGTATTTCCACATTGTTCCAATCAAATGTGTGTCCATAATTGTCGGTGTGTGTTGATATAAGCGAAGCGTTGTCGTGGCGTTTGACTGTTAATTGATATTCACGTAAACAAAGCTGAAGAGGTCGTCCACTTTGTCCTATGTAGTGTTTTTCACAGTTTGAGCAGTTGTTTATTTTGTAGATGGGATATTTGGTTTTTCTTCCTTTGCCATTTTGTCCTTTGGTCTACACCGTAGGATTGATTGAAGTGATTCTGTTGGTTTGTGTGCCACACCTATTCCAAATGGTTTCAGTATTCGTGCTGTATGCTCCGATATGTCTTTTATGTATGGCAGGATGATCCGTTTATTTGTTCCTGTGCTTGATTTCGCTTTTGATGATGGTTTCGGTTGATGTTTTTTGATGAAGTTGCGTGGATAGCCGTTCTTTTGGAAGATAGTCACCAGGTGTTTTTCCTCGTTTTTTAGTGCTTCGTATGTGCTGCAGTGTGACTTCGCTCTCTTGAACAAAGTTAGTATGCAGTTGATTTTGTGGGTTCTTGGGTTGTTGCTGTCGTAGGTGATATTGCGAACTAATCTATGCTAGACGTCGCCCTGTAGATAGATACCTGAAAGCACTGGACAGCTATTTCATCCTAGTATGAGATTCTTCAGCGGTGAACTACATCCATCACCAGGAAAATCCTTGGCTGTGTGATTGGTTGTCGTTGTGTTATTTTAGTGTGCTATTTTTGTGACTCTCCCAAGGATGTTTCTATGGCGAGTATAAATAAATGCAATTTGTGTGCTTGAATTCATTATGCTTGCTGAGTGTTTGTAGAATACGCTTTCTATGCTATATCAAGACTTTTCATCAGTTACTGTGAGGAAACGGATTAGAGTAGCATAACGTGTCTCGTTCTCGTCTATTGACTAAGGTGAACTTGTGATAGTTTCAAGCATGACAACTATTCACCATTTTTACAGCTTTCTACATTTAATGCAGGATGTCTTAGCATTTTTTTTAAGTGTTCTCTCTAACTTTGAATTGCTTATACATTCGGTCCTACCATACATGACCTCCTTTCGGTTGTCTAGATATGAATTTTTATTCATATATAGAACAAATTTCATTGGTTTGCATCGGCACCTGAACTCTAGTAATAAGGAGTGAAGCAGTTGAGTGTGTTGACAGCTTCACTTATCTGGGGAGTCTGATCAGTGTTTGATGGCCTGGTTTGTGACAAGATTTCAGCACGGATACAGAAGGCTCGATTGACTTTTGCAGACTTGCGTCACTTTTGGTGTAGGCGAGATATCCGTTTGCTAACCAAAGGACACTTACTATATGGGTATGAAACATGACCGGTAGGAGACAAAAATATTCGTAGGTTTTTAGTATTCAACCATAGGTGCCTTCGAAGCATTACTCGTGTATCCTCGGACCATCGAGTGTGCAATGCTGATGTTAGGAAATGAGTTTTAATAATAATGTCGTAGGTGAGATATCCGTTAGCTAACCGAAAGACGAGTCTTTTGCGCAGCATTTCACTCCGTCCTACTATATAGATGTGAAACATGATCGGTAAGAGTAGAGGATATTCATAGGCTATTAGTCATTCGATTATAGATGTCTTCGAAGCATTGCTCGTATATCCTAGGTCAACGGAGTAGGCAAAGGTGTTGTTAGAAAACGAGTTCTAGGTAAGGATATCCGATCAATAGATGAATTAGTGAGTCTTCATCAGTTGAGGTGGTTGGGACTTTGAATGACATGGTTCATAATCGTTTGCTATGACTCAGGTGCATTCATTCTTTGTGATCTCTGCAATTCTAATCCTCTGAATTCTTCATCATCTCTACCTTTCTCTCTCTTTAAGTTTATTTTACTAGATTATACTTCTAGAATTATATCTTCTAACCTTTAATCTTCTCCATTGCTGTTGTTACTTCTACTACCTCTACTACTATGGGATTTGAATTGACAACAGTTGCGTCTCTGTGTGGGGTAATGTGTTATGACAACTTATGAACTTATGTACAACGCTCGTACGAAGTTCTCAGTTGTAACTGACTAACTGACTGACTCAACTTTCATTTCCAGAATATTCCTGGCATCTTTTTTTTTTATTTTTAATATTGTTGTGTTTATGTTTAGTCGATTTTATTGATTTATCATCATAATTCTGTGCCCCAATATAATGTAACAGTGCTCACTAGTGACTAGCTTCGTGAGGAAATTCTCGGAGTTCTAGTTGAGAAGACGTGACCAGTGGAGTTCAACCCTGTCGGGTGTAGGCAGTAACTACCAAAGACAAATGGGTGAGGTCGCGCAAAATCCCTAGATCAATCAGAGTTAGACATTAACACCGTTGGATGCCGGCCCAGTGGTCCGATGGTAAGGCGTTCGCCTACAATGCCAAAGGTCCCGGGTTCGAATCCTGCGAGGAGCAGGAGTCGTGGATGCGCACTGCTGAGGAGTCCCATACTAGGACGAAACGGCCGTCCAGTGCTTCCAGGTTTCTAATGGTGGTCTAACAATGATGATTGATTAATGATTTCAAATGTGTAATAATTCTGTGTATCTATGTTTGTATGTATGTATGTATGTTCTTTTACAATTTTAGCGTAACGATGATTTTGGCCAGTTGATCAATGATTACTTAGATCATTTGTTATTTTGTACTGAAGCTCCATTATCTACTAGTGGATCTCCATTAGATCCAACTGCTGGATGTCTTTCATCATCTGGAATGCCAGTGTTACCACAAGTTGCATTTGGCAGTTTTAATGGTTAGTTTAATTGATTTCATTTGTTTTGTATTTTGATTTTGAATGACTATAGAGTGTTGTTAGCTTATTAAAAAAAAGATGTATTTGTAATTGTCAATTAGGTAAAATCAGTCAGTTAGTCAGTTACAACGTAGAACTTCGTATGTATGTACATAAGTTCATGTTGCTGCCATACCACATTAGCGCACAGAGACACAAATGTCAAATCAAATCTCATAGTGATAAGGATAGTAGAGTTATTAATGGTAATGAAGAAGACTACAGGGTTTGAAGATATTATTCAAGAAATATCATTCAGTGAGATAAGGTTAGAAAGACAAAGGTAGAGGTTCTGACGAATCCAGAAGATTAGGATTTACTGAGCTCAAAGATTGAATGCACCTGCGCCATTGCAAACGATTTTGAGCCATGTTGTTCAAGGTCTCTAACCATCGGCGAATTTCGTCTCGCGGACCCCAACCAGGTAGTCTACATCTACCAACATGACTCGGTCCACTTGTCAATGACTTCATGGATTGCTGCCATGTTTTGGTCTGGACGCCCCTAGCTTTCTTCCAACCTACTCCTACACCACAAAACATAGCTCGTCGAGGCAGTCGGTGGTTAGGCATACGTAACACATGTCCCAACCACCTCAACTGATGAAGTTTCACCACTTCATCGATTGATCTGCCATCCTTACCTAGTATTCGTTTCCTAACGACAGCATTGCCTACTCGGTTGTCCCACGATATACGAGCAATGCTTCTTAAACATCTGTGATTGAATACTAGTAACCTACGCACATCATTTGGAACTATTCTATTCAATCCCTTTCCTAATCATGTTAATTTATCGGTCAAATTTTCAGGACATTTAAATCATTCGCCATACAATTCATTGATTAATAATGAATGAGTATTCATTTCATATGTGCTCACTAAATCTATGCCATTGATCAATACTTACGGATTAGATTACGAAAGTGACTCCTATAGGAGGAGTTAATTACAGTGTGTATTAGTTTGATAACAAACAATGCCTTTTTTCACAAATGAGAAATTGGGATAAATGTAGACTACCTGGTTTAAAGATTCGCGAGATGATAATAATCGATGATTAGAGGAGAGACTTTGAGTGATATGGCTGAAAAATCATTTGCTATGGTGCAGATTCATCCACTCATTGTGTTCTCCGAAATTGTTTGTAATCTTCTGAATTCGTTATGACCGTTTTTTCTTCCGTTTTTTAAGCTGATTCCTCTGGGTTATACGTCTCGAATGATATGTTTGATCATGAATCTTCTGCATTACTGCTAATACTTCTATTACCTCTACTACTGTGGAGGTTTGAATTGACAGTAGTGTCTTTGTGTGTGCTAATATGGTATGACAACTTGAAGTGATGTACTTACGTATGAAGTTCTACGTTGTAACTGACCGAATGACTGACTAACTGATAATTTTACTGATGAATACCAACTATAATTAGAAATTTTGAATTTTAGAGTTTCTTGTCGACTACCTGCCCCGAATTTAATCATCCTATAGGTTGATCTTACCCTTGTTCATTCTGTTTATTGAATGAAATGCTGGAGAGAATGTGTTAGATGATTACGGGGGTAGTTACGTTCTCTGAGGTGAATAGTTTTGATTGTGGAACTTTCATTGTTCTTCTTCTCAAACAATAACATCAAAGCGGCTCAGTGGTCCAGTGGTTAGGCGTTCGCGCACAATACCGAAGGTCCCGGGTTCGAATCCTACGGGGTGCAGGAGTCATGGATGCGCACTGCGCACTGATGAGTCCCATACCAGGACGAAACGGCCGTCTTTCAGTGCTTCTTCCAGGTTTCTAATGGTGATGGTCTAACATTGATCGATTCATGGTTTCATCAACATAACCGAACTGAACATTTTTGCTGGGGAGAACATTGTAGGCTCTATGACAATTAAACCAACCATTCAGCTTAGAGAATGATACTCCACCATGATTCCTTGAATTCTTGTAATCAAAAAAATGACTGTTTTGAGTTGTTTTTTTTTTGATTTATAAATTAAAACCTCACATACACACACACACACATAACGTCTTTTTAAATTTTCAACAACAATAATACAGCATCATTTTACAATGGATCTGTTGCTGTGGTGTTAACATTTCTTCTCAACAATAATCCTGATCCGAAATCAATACAAGTGCAAAAAGCTAAATTATGGGAATCAAAATATTTACAATTAATTCATGAATGGAAATTGAATAATACAGAAATTATTGTTAGTTTTTCAGCTGAAGTAAGTGTATATTTGTGGGAGGATAATTATGTAACTTATTATTATTATTATTAAAATGCAGCTTCATCACATCGATTTCGATATGTTTGAAACTATTACTAGAGGAAGGATCAATGATCGGGTGATACGATAGGCTTACTCAAATGCAATGATCCCAACAACCCCCATTGAGTAGAAGAACACAAGAAGACTTGATATGAAGTAGATAGATAGTGTATTCTTCAAATATCCAGAAAGTATGAGGTCCCGGACTAAGGATCCGGATTATAAAACATTACAGATAATGCATATTTATATAGTTAAGCTGGATAGGAAACAACATTTGAAGTCTGTGACATTGACAGTTAAGGCGACCAATAGAATTAGACTTACAAAATAATTCTCTTAGGATATTGGATAAATATCCTAACACTTATATGATACGATTAGTTTTAGGTGTTATGTTGGCAAGATAACATTAAAATGCGAAGAAAACAGTTCACCATATGGGATTAGTTTGTAGGAGTGTGTGATACTTCCTGGTTGTTGATGTTAAAGACTACAGTTGATACACCTTCAAATATTCTGGTATAGACAAGAGTGTGGAATATGTTCTCTCTCTCCTTCTCTCTAAATGTTTGGATAGCCACTATCAGGGAAGTTCTAATCGCACGACATGGCTCAGAATCGTTTGCAATGGCGCAGGTGCATTCACTCTTTGTGCTCTATGAAATTCTCACCTTTGGAATTCCTCATCATCTCTATCTTTCTCCTTCTAAATTTATCTTACTAAATTAAAGCTCTCGAATCATATCTTCGTTCCTTAATCTTCTCCATTATTGCTAATACTTCTACTATCGCTATCACTGGTGTATTTGAACTGACAGTTGCGTCTCTGTGTGCTGCTAATGTGGCACGGCAACCTGAACTGATGTACTTACGTATGAAGTTCTGCGTTGTATCTGCCTATCTGCCTACTCGCACTATTCTCGTATGTGGGGGGAATATTGTACACCAAATTGAAAGGACCAAAAGTAATTCTCCAACCGTGGCTTTACCTGGATTATCAGGTACAGAAGATCCATCAAAGGGAGTTGGAAAACTGTAATTGCAAATCAACGGTGTACATGCACTCTAGGACAGTGTCAGAGCAATTAGCTTATGAACTTATTGGTAGTCAGTCGATACAATAGGACTGCATTTGTTGATGTTGCCCTACTTACTGCCTTGTGTATTAGACCACGTGTAGGTAAAAAAAACTCGGGAATAGCGCCGTAAGAAAACTGCTTGCTTCAGTTTGGACAACAGGGCAGTATCTCAGTCTACACACAAATTCATTGATTTTTGTGGCGTATTTGGATGCCCCTTTATACCAATTTATCATGTACTTAAATAAAATTATAAAACAATTGATAAGTCTCTGTTGACATGAATGAATTATCTTAATATTGTCATTTAGTCACAAGTATCAGGTTGAATCTGACGAATCTTCTGGATTCGTCAGCATCTCTACCTTTGTCTTTCTAACCTTATTTCACTTAATTATACTTCTTGAATAATATCTTCAAACCTTGTAGTCTTCTTCATTACCATTAATACCTCTTCTATATTTATCACTATGGGATTTGATTTGACATCTGCGTCTCTGTGTGCTAATGTGGTATGGCAGCAACATGAACTTATGTACATACGTATGAAGTTCTACGTTGCAACTGACTGACTGACTGATCAGGTTGAATCTTCAATGTGAATGTGCACATTACGCATACAAATACATTTAAGTGACAAGTCGTATTACTTACTTACGCCACTTAGCCTTGATCAGAGCATAGGCCACCGATCAGCATTCTCCAACCTACTTTTTCCTGGGTGTTCCTTTCCATTTCTATCTAATCGCTGTTCATTCTTTCAATGTCTACTTCCAATTCTCGTCGTAATGTGTTCTTTGACGTTGAGGATTCCATGTTAAGACTTGCCTTATAATGATGCATTTGGGTGATTTCTGTATTGTATGTCCCATACACACTTTCAGCGCTTTTCCTCAGCTGAAATCTAGTTTAATCTCTTACACAATAAGTTATTGCTAATACTGTCTGACCAATTGAAAATCCTGGTATGGGACTCCTCAGCAGTGCGCATCCACGACTCCTGCACCCCGCAGGATTCGAACCCAGGACCTTCGGTATTGTGCGGGAAGATGTGACCAGTGAAGTTCAACCTGTTCGGGTGTAGACAGTAACTACTACCGAAGACTGTGTATGAGGTTGCGCAACTCCGTGAATTTGATCAAGTTAGACATTAACACCGTTAGATACCGGCTCAGTGGTCCGATGGGTTAGGGCGTTCGCGCACAATACCGAAGGTCCTGGGTTCGAATCCTGCGGGGTGCAGGAGTCGTGGATTCGCACTGCGTGCTGATGAGTAGTCCCATACAGTCGGACGAAACGGCCGTCTTTCAGTGCTTCCAGGTTTCTAATGATGGTGGTCTAACATTGATCGATCGATTCATGGTTTCAGAAAAAATGTGTAACTACTTAACAATCTTCACAACTCCGTAATGCAAATGAAAATCCTCTAGTTTATTCTGCTACTACTACTACTATATACAGCAGCCATATTTATTGTATTAAAAATATCACATTATGAATTAAGCTCTCATTATTATTATGATTATTATTATGATTATGTTATGTTATCAAATTTTTTTTTACAACAACAAGTTTTAACAATAACAACTACTATCATTATTATCGTATGACTTATCAAAAACATTGCACTTTAAACATTTTATTGTTGTTTAAATCATTATTATCACAAGGTTATGCACACTATTCAAATCTGTGTGTGTGTGTGTGTGTAAAGAAAAAACAACAACACAATAACCTAACATCATAACAAATGCACCCTATTTATCAATGTATATATATATATATGAATATGTGACTACAGGTGTCGGATTATTCATAAATACTAATAATAATAATAATAATTATTATTATTATTATCATTATTATTATTATCGTTACAAAGTATACAAAGCAGCACCATAATTGAATAACACACCATTCATTTGTACTTTGTTTATTTGGTTGGTGGTTTGATAAAGTGAGAGAGAGAGAGAGAGAGAGAGAGAATAGTTGTTTGTTTGTTGACAAATTGGACATTATTTTTATCCTTGAGCGCATTATTTACTAAACTATGAAGTCAGTCAGACAGTCAGTTAATTAGAACTTAGAACTTTGTATGTAAGTACTATAAGTTCAGATTGTCATTACCATATTAGCAGTACACAGAGATAGACACCAACGTTAGTTCAAATCCCATAATGGTAGAGATAGTAGGCGAATTACTGGTAATAGAGAATATTAGAGTTCGGTGATCTTGTTCAAGAAGTAGAAAGGAAACGATGGTGATGAGGAACTCTGAAGGTTAGAATTTGAGGGAATGAATGCATGTCATTCAGGCTCTCTAACTTTCGATTACTAACATCTTGCGGACCCCAACCAGGTAGTTGACATCTACTGACATGACTCAGTTCGCTTGTCAGTGACTTCATGGATTGCTGCCATGTTTTGCTCTGGCCGCCCTTAGGTGTCTTCTAACCTATTCCTACACCGTAAAATATAGCTTGACAAGGCAATCAGTGGTTAGGCATTCGTAACACATGTTCCCAACCACCTCAACTGATGAAGTTTCAATATTTCATCTATTGATCTGTCACCCTTACCTAGGACCCGTTTTCTAACAACACCCTTGCCTACTTGGTTGTCCCAGGATATACGAGCAATACTTCGGAGATATCTATAATCCAATACTAATAATCTACGAATATCTTCTACTCTTAACGGCCATGTTTTGCATGTATATAGTAGGATGAAGCGGACTGTTGCGTATTACACTCGTTCCTTAGTCAGAAAATGGATATCTTACCTACGGTTGGTGAAAGCCAATCGATCTTTCTGTATCCGTGCTGAGATTTCGTCAGTCGCCAGGCCATTAGCACTGATGAGACTCTCTAGATTAGTGAAGCCGTGTCTACACCCTCGACTACTTCACTCCCCATCACTAGTTTAAGTGCCGATGCAACTTAATCCTGAAGCGACATTTTTCATTTTCAGGGGAAAGCCTCATCTTGAATATGCTTTTATTATTGCTTAGGGTAGTCAAAAGACTCTGCATTTTGTCAGCGTCTTCACCAAGTAGGACTATGTCATCAGCATACTATAAGTTAGCAAGCGTGTCTCTTGGTAGCAGATCCACTTCTGAAAAGTCAGACGATAATTTTAACTCTAAAGGGTTGTCTACGACAAAGTTAAACAAAAATGGAGAGAGTGGACAGCCTTGACAGGCACCACTTGAAGTAAGGAATTCTGATGACAGTTCTCCATAAGCTCTCACTCGACCAGTGGTGTTCGAGTAGAGTGCTTGTATAAGGTTAATGTATTTCTTTGGTACACTTTTTAATGGCAGACACTGCCGCAGAACTCCACAATCGCCAGAGTCGAATGCTGCCTTAAGGAGGTTGAGAAATACTACAATTGTGTATTGGACGTCTGAATGTGTGTCTTTGTTCTAGGACCTGATGTAGTATGAATATTTGGTCTATCCACTTATCAGTACATAAACTAAAGCGTTCATCTCTTATATTTCGCGCCTTTACTCTTGTGTGTTTAAATTTCAATGTAGATTTAGTTAGTTTCAAGTGATTAGAAGTGGATCAGCATCAAATTTTGTGTTTGTGTTTTTTTAAGCAAACTTATTACAACAATAGTAATAATTAGTGACACTCTTCTGTTGCACATCCACTGTATACTACTACACTTATAAGTTGTTCTGTTGTAAAGTAGTAGCATAAACCACAAAGTAGCACAAATCTCGTATACAAGTATGTATACTGATTCATTCAAACTACTAACTACTGAAAATATATATTGTTTGAATATTACTTACTTGCACACTTACGCCTGTTACCCCCAATAGAGGAGCATAGACCGCCAACCAGCACTCTCTAACCTACTCTGTCCCGGGCTTCCCTTTCCAGTTCTGTCCAATGTTTGTTCATTCCTCTCATATCTTTTTCTTTTTCCCGGCGTAGTGTGTTTCTTCGCTTTCCTCTTTTCCTTTTGCCTTGAGGGTTCCATGTAAGGGCTTGTCTCGTGACGCAGTTAGATGATTTTCGTAGTGTGTGTCCTATCTACCAACTCCAGCACTTCTTCCTGATTTCTTCCTCCACTGGAATCTGGTTTGTTCTCTCCCACAGTACGTTGTTGCTGATAGTGTCTGTCCAGAGAATACGAAGTATTTTGCGTAGAAAACTGTTAATAAACACCTGTATCTTCTGGATGATGGCTTCGGTTGTTCTCCGAATTTCCTCTCCATACAGATTTCATTCATTGTTTGAATATAATGAATGAAATTTTTTTTTATGTTGATTATAAAGTGTTGACTATAAGACTTTTGAAGATTAAAGTTTGATTCCAAAGCTATCTTATTTATATATATATACCGATATTTAACTCTAAACTATACTCCTTACTCTAATCATAAACTTAACTCGAACACAAACTGTACATCCTACCCGTAATTCAATTTTAATCATAGTTTTTAATGAACATAGAAGAAGTCTATATGAGAGATAACACATCCTACTAGTCAAAAATGTGGACAACTTATCACAAGGTAAAACAAGAGTATTGTTGGCTGTCTTCTTCTATATGCCTTCTATATTTCCTTAAAGCACTTAGATTGCTTTATAAAAATCCCTGTAGTGTACTTGATAAGTTCGTCACTTAGTATGCTTGAGGGTATTACGAGTTTACCTTAGTCGATAAACGCGAACGAGACTTTTACCAGCGTCCAGGTAGGCTACCTTGAATACCCAAAGTCGAAATAAAAGGCTTTGTAAGCGTAGAAAGTATATTCTACAAACACCCAGCAATCACACAATACAATCAAGCATACAACTCTCGTTTATCTATACAACATAGGACCGTCCTTGAGACAGTTAAGAAACTAGCATACTAAAATACACAGCAACCAATCACAGACATGGATTTTCCTGATGGGAATTGAAATCTCAAGGTCAACTGATCAGTCCATGCTGGCAAACTTGAAAACCGAAATACGGCATTATCAAGCGAATTTTGGGGACCTAACATCCCCAACAGTACTGTGCAGCAGTTCGCTCCGTTCTCTTTTATGGTTGCAAAACATGGCCGCTAAGAGTAGAAGATATTCGTAGGTTATTAGTATTCGATCACAGATGTCTTCGAAGCATCGCTCGTATATCGTGAGACACCCGAGTGAGCAACGCTGTTATTAGGAAACGGGTGCTAGGTAAGAATGGCAGATCAATAGATGAAGTGCTGAAACTTTATCAGTTGAGATGGTTGGGACATGTGTTACGAATGCCCAACCACCAACTGCCTCAACGAGCTATGTTTTGTAGTGTAGGAGTAGGTTGGAAGAAAGTTAGGGACAGCCAGACCAAAACATGGCAGAAATTCATGAAGTCACTGACAGTTGGACTGAGTCATGTTGATAGATGTAGGCTACTTGGTTGGGTTCCGCGAGACGATAGTCACCGATGGTTAGAGACCTTGAATGACATGGCTCGAATTCGTTTGCAATAGCGCCGGTGCATTTATTCTTTGTGTTCTCTTAAATTCTAATCTTCTGGATTCGTCAACACCTCTACCTTTGTCTTTCTAATCTTATCTCTTTGAATCATATACTTCTTGAATATTCTCTTCAAATCCTAATCTTTTCTATTAGCAGTAATTCTTCTACTATCTCTACCACTATGCCATTGAAATTGACGATTGCATCTCTGTGCTAATGTAGTATGGCAATATGAACTGATGTACTCTTTTACCTACGAAGTTGTACGTTGCAACTGACTGAATGACTGACTGACTTATAAATCCCTGTGCAACATTGCTGCACATTCAATTCATACCATACTTATAAGCTCTGCCGTAAATTAGCATACATCACAGTCGTACAAATCTTGTATTTATGGTTTATAATTAATTATACATTCAGATTAATCATGCTACAATTGATAATCAGTCCATCAATCAATCAATCAATCAATCAATATTTTTGATTTGATACCCTAACCGCATAAACATCATTTTTATATGTTTTTTTCTTGTTTTAGCGTTCCGTTGAAGATGAAATAGAACGTCAATCTAATTCTGATATCAGTACTATAGCTATCAGTTATATGGTTATGTTTGTATATGTCAGTTTATTTCTTGGAACATATCGAAGTTGTAAAACAATACTTGTAAGTTGTTGTCGCTGTTACTATTTTTCTCTCTCTACTCTTTGATTGATTTATTATTGTTGAGCATGTTGATCGCTTCGCTTATGTTAGTAGTTTCATGAGTGCTGATGCCCTGGTGACTGACGAAATCTCAGCATGGATACAGGAGGCTCGATTGGCTTTTGCCAACTTGCGTCAATTATGGCGTAGGGGAGATATCCATTTGCTATCCAAAGGATTAGTATGCTTCTCGGTAGTTCCCTCCGTCCTACTTTATGGCTGTGAAGTATGGTCAGTCAGAGTAGAAGATATTCGTAGGTTGCTTGTTTTCGATCATAGGTGTCTCTGAAGCATTGCTCGTATATCCTGCGACAACAGAGTAAGCAATGCTCTAGTTAGGAAACGAGTATTAGGTAAGGATGGTAAATTCGATAAATGAAGTATTGAAACTTCATCAGTTGAGGTGATTGGAACATGTGTTATGAATGCCGAACTACCTATTGCCTCGGCCTACGAGGATGCCTGGTGTAGGAGTAGATTGGAAGAAAGCTAGGGGCGACCAGATCGAAACATGGCAGAAATCCATAAAGTCATTGACAACTGAACTTGAGTCATGTCGGTAGGTTTCGACTACCTGGTTGGGGTCCGCAAGATGTTAGTAATCGAAAGTTAGAGAGCCTGAATGACATGGCTCAAAACTATTTGCAATGGCTCAGGTGCATTCATTCATTGTGTTCCCTCAAATTCTAACCTTCTACGTGCATCACTTTATCTCTTTCTTTTAAGTTTATTTCACTGAATTATATTTCTTGAATAATATCTTCGAACCATAATCTCTCTGATAACTACTAATACCATTACTAGCTATACTACTTATGGGGTTTTAACTGACAATCCCATCTCTCTGTGCTAATTTGGTATAGACAACTTGAATTGATGAACGTACGTATGAAGTTCTACGTTGCTGTTGATTGACTGATTGATTGATTGGTGTATTGTGAAAATGTCTCATAAAAAGACATATATCATAGGTAAACGATATTTGACACAGATATCTGAGATGAATGGACTGGGTGTTCTAGACTTTGATTCTTTCATTTTCATGGGTGTTAATTTCTTTATTGATTTATTTAAACATATAATTATTGGTACAACAGAGGTGCATCTAACTAGTTATGAGCCACACAAATCCAATGATTTGTGTGTGTTGGGATACTGCATGGCTTCTCAAATCAAAGCAAGCGGTATTCTTAAGGGCCACTTCTCAGCCTTTCACCTACAGGTCTAATACACAAGTCAGTGGAGCAATGTCGACAAATGTAATCCCAGTGACCAACAATAGCTTCATAACGCAATTGTTCCGATCGACAGACAGACAGACAGACAGATACAACGCAGAACTTTGTACGTAAGTATATCAGTTCAGGTTGCCATACCACATTAGCACAGAGACGCAACTGTCAGTTCAAATCCAGGAGTGATAGCGATATTATAATTATTAGCAGTAATGGAGAAGATTAGAGAGCGAAGATATGATCCGAAAAGTATAATTCAGTGAGATAAATTTAGAAGGAGAAATATAGAGAGATTATGAGGAATTCAGAAGGTTAGAATTAGAGAAAACACAAAGAGTGGATGTACCTACGCCATTGAAAACGATTCTAAGCCATGTCGTTCAAAGTCTCTAACCATTAGTGACTTTTGTCTCGCGGATCCCAACCAGGTCCGCGACAGAGTCCATGGGATGGTGCATGTTCACCATTGATTTTGAATTAGGATTTTCTAACCCCCTTAGACGCTTGCTCTGTATACTCACCAACCCGTGTGAAGTTACGTCTGGACAATGACTTCTCATCCTTTCCATTTAGTGTACAATAACTCCACCACGAGAAGGCTGAAATGAGAACTTCTCCGATACTGGCTATATATATATATATATATACGTGACTATATAAAAGCATTTTAGCGAGTGAGTTATACACTCTCCCCCCATCACTAGTTTGTCATTCACAATTAGGTGGACCTTTTGTGTTTCTATGATGACCTTCAAAAAATGAAGCATTTTGTATATCACTTAAAAATAATAATAATTATTATTATTATTGTTTCTGTATGTGTGTTTCTCTTTGTTCACTAGATCGATATGCGTATCACTCTCGGGTTCGCTGGTATACTCATTGTGTTAGCTTCAGTTTTAGCATCTGTTGGATTTTGGAGTTATTTTAAATTACCTATAACTTTAATTATTGTTGAAGTTATACCATTTTTAGTATTAGCTATTGGTGTTGATAATATTTTCATATTAGTACATGAATTTGAATATGGTGGTGGTGATCGCCGCCGTCGTAATGAATCATCAACATTGATTACAAATATCAATTTATTAAAACCATATTTACATCGATTAAATTGTGATGAAAAGCATTTTAAAACTGAAACGTTGTATGATTCCAATGGTGGTGGTGGTGATTCCATGTTGAATTTAACACAAAATGAACAACAACCAGATCAATTGAAACATTTAAATGAAGCTATTAAACTGTTAGTGGAAGATAGAATAGCTGAATCAGTTGGTAATGTTGGACCATCGATTTTATTAACTGGTCTAGCCGAGAGTGTTGCATTCTTTTGTGGTAAGTTGCTTCATATATATATATGTGTATGTGTGTGTTGATGTTGTTGTCTCTTGATATCATTAGTCAGTCAGTCAAATGCAACGTAGAACTTCCCACGTACGTAAGTACATCAGTTCATGTTGTCATACCATCACATTAGCACACGGAGAGAGATGAAATTGTCAATTCAAATCCAATAGTAGTTAGTAGAGGTAGTAAAGGGCTTAGAAGATATGATTCAAGAAGTACGTGATTCAGTGAGAAAAGTTTAGAAAGTCAAAACTAGACGGGGTTGAAGAATCCAGAAGATTAGGATTTGAGAGAATACAAAGAATAAATGCACCTGCTCCACTACAAACGGTTTAGAGCCATGTTATTCAGGCTCTCTTTCCATCGACTACTAACATCTCGTGGACCCCAACAAGGTCCGTCAGTCAGTCAGTCAGTTGCAACGTAGAACTTCGTACGTATGTATATAAGTTCATGTTGCTGCCATACCACATTAGCACAGAGACCCAAATGTCAAATCAAATCCCATAGTGATAAAGATAGTAGAGGTATTTAATGGTCATGAAGAAGACTAGGGTTTGAAGACATTATTCAAGAAGTATAATTCAGTGAGATAAGGTTAAAAATACAAAGGTAGAGGTGCTGACGATTCCAGAAGATTAGCATTGGAGAGAGCTCAAAGAGTGGATGCACCTGTGCGATTGCAAACGGTTTTCAGCCATGTTTTTCAAGGTCTCTAAGCATCGATTATTATCATCTTGCGGATCCCAACCAGGTGGTAGTCGACACCTACCGACTTGGCTAAGTCCACTTGTCACTGACTTCATGGATTTATGCACTGTTTTGGGCTGGCCGCCCCTAGCTTTCTTCCAAGCTATTACACCACACCTACACCACAAAACATAGCTCAATGAGGCAGTCGGTGGTTGGGCATACGCAACACATGTCCCAACCACGTCAACTGATGAAGGTTCAATACTTCATCTATTGATTTACCATCCTTACCTAGTACTCGTTTTCTAACGACAGCATTGCTTACTCGGCTGTCCCACGATATACGAGCAATGCTTCTTAAACATATATGATCGAATACTAGTAACCTACGAATATCTTCTACTCTTAACGGCCATGTTTCGCATCCATATTGGAGAACGGGGCGAACCGCTGCGCAGTAAACCCCTCCTTTGGTTAGCGAACGGATATCTTGCCTACGCCATAAACGGCGTAAATTGGCAAAAGCAAATCAAGCCTTCTGTATCCGTGCTGAGATTTGATCAGTCACCAGACTATTAGCATTGATGAGACTCCCCAGATAAGTAAAGTGATCAACACGCTCGACTACTTCACTCCTTATCACTAGTTCAGGTGCCGATGCAACCCGGTGTTCAAGCAACATTTTGCATTTCGAGGGGGAAAGCCGCATCCCGAACATGCTCACACCTCAACCAGGTAGTCGACACCTACCAACATGACTCAGTTCACTTGTCAATGTCTTCAAGGATTTGTGCCATGTTTTTGCACCCCCCCCTAACTGGTCTTCAGTAATTGTAGTAATAGTAGACCAGTCTATGATATCATCATCTAAATACTTTTTCAATTGTTTCCTTTTCAATAATATGTGTCATATATATATATATATATATATATATATATATATATATATATATCACTTATTGATTTATTGATTGTTTCTGTTATCATTTAAAGGCGCACTGACTACCATGCCAGCTGTTCGTGTCTTTGCATTATATGCAGCTATGGCTATTGTGTTTAATTTTCTATTGCAAATATTTGCATTCATTGCATTGCTTACATTGGATGGGCGTAGATATGTGGTAAGTAGTAGTAGTAGTAGTAGGTTTTGGTGGGGGTAATTGAATTTTGTTGATGTATTTTGATGTTTTGTATGTACTTTCATGCTTTTACTGTCTCTCTCTTTCTCTCTGTGATTCTTTTCTGCGGTAATAAGTTGATTTGAAGCGATTGACTATGATGTTTACTACTACTGCTTACTACTACTAAATCAAATTGAACACACCCTTCTTTATTGTAACTAATACTGACAATAGATGATATACGACATTTGTCAATATTTAAAACAAATAGTTTGATATAAATCGGATGCCGAGTATATATATATATATAGAAGTTTATACAGAATTTCTTCAATTGAAGAATATCTGGAATTTTAACCGAACTATCGACCAACACCAACAACGTAGAACTTCGTACGTACGTACGTACATCAGTCCAGGTTGACATACCGACCGCATTAGCTTAGTGAGGCGACTACCACTTCAAATCCAATAGTGGTAGAGATTGTAGAAGAATTAGTGGTAAAGGAGAGAATATTAGGAATCGATGATATTATTCAAGAAGCATAGTTCAGTGAGATAAGTTTAGAAAGTGAAAAATAGGGATGATGAAGAATTTTGAAGATTAGGATTTCAGGGGACACAAACAATATGTGCACCTGTGCCTTTGCAAACAATTTTGAGCCATATCGTTCAAGTTCTCCTCAACAAATAAATGTCAATACAATTCTATTGTACATGAAGGAAACTTGGAGAACTATGAAAGTCATCATCCACAAGATGCATGTGTTTTTATTAACAGTTGTCTACGTAAAATACTCTGGATCCATTGGCCAAATACCATCAGCCGCAACCTACTGTGGAAGAAAACTTACTTGGTACGCATGCACGCAAACACGTTATTTTGATAGGCTTGTATTATTACGAGTTTACTTTATTCTTGAAACGAGAGCAAGGATCGAGGATCGGGCGACACGACAGGCTACACTAATCCGAGTGTCGTAGACCCCATATTGAGTAAACAGACGAAGGCGATATGAAGTAGAACATATATTCTACGAACATCCAGAAGACATGAGGTCCGAGTCCCCGGGTCATAAAACGTTACAGATAATTCATATTTATACATTTTGGTCGAATAGGAAACAGCAACAAAGTCTGTGACATTGACAATTAAGTCGACCAATAGGAAACAACATTTGAGTGACGTTAACAGTCAGGGCAACCAATAAGAAACAACATTGGAGTACATGAAATTGATATCTAGGACGACCATAAAATTGACCAGTAGGAATGAACCAATAGGAATTGACCAATAATTCTCTTAGTATATTGGATGAATATCCTAACACCAGTGGAGGAAGATATCAGGAAGATGCGTTGGGGCTGGATAGGACACACATTGAAGAAAAAAAGCATTCAACTATGTTACGCGACAAGCCCTAACTTCGAATCCCACGGGTCAGAGGAAAGAAGAACACCAAAAGACACATTACGATGAGAATCGGAAGCAGAAATGAGAAAAATGAACAACAATTGAAAGGAAGGTCCGGAACGGAGTAGGTTGGAAAATTCTGGTCGACTAACAAAGAACACATTATGTCAAGAATTGGAGACAGACAGACACCAATTGTACAGAACTAGGAAGGAAGGAAGGTCCAGGACAGAGTAGCCTAGAGAATACTGGTCATCGGCCTATGCTCCATTGGGGTTAACAGGCATAAATCATCAAAAAAAATGGTTACATAGAAAAGATGGAATGTGGCTAGGACGCCCCCCCCGAACCAATTGGCCTAATAAGTCTAATCTTTTAGGCAACATAGAGAGAGAGAGATACGCGGTCTCATGATCGCCAGTGACTTCTTCCGAGTAATCATCAAATCAACTACTCTTCACTATAAATATACTTATTCAATCATATTCAAATGTTGACTGTAATGATAAGTAAATTAGGTTAATAATATTGTAATGAAGGAGAACACAGGTGGGGCAACCGAATTGTATTTAACGAAAATTACAGAGTTACTCAGTAAAATCATCGGAAAACCATATCGTAAATCGTTCATTTGCAAAATATCAGTTCATCATCATATCGAACTGGACTGTTCCTGTTGCAAAACATCAATCCATTGTCACTGTTCATGCGTTTCATACAAATTCCATTGTTTTCTAACTCTTCCTTTCTCTTGATCTTTCCCCATCTTCTGCTGCCAGACATTACGTTGACACTCACGTCATATACTACTACTTATAAGTAGCTCGCACCACAATATGAGTCTATTGAAATGTGAAATGTGTATGAAAATAAATGAATAAAAATGTGTGTTTGTGTGTGTGTTGTGCGTGTTTATGTAACTTTATGTTATTGAATTCATAGTTAATATTTATTTACCTGAGATTGTATTTAATCAAATTGTCAAGTAAGTATTCTTAAATACTCGTTTACAATACAATACAATACAGTTTCATGTATGCATTTAACCAAATCCCCATAGTTTACGTACATTTGTATAAACCTTAGATTCCCATCGATATGTTCATTATTTTCACAAGTAGGTAGGTAGGTAGGTAGGTGCGACTGTGAATTTTTAGTTTATTTACACTTGACTGATGATGATGAAACTGGTGTATTTTATTTGTTTTGTTTAAATTTATCGATTTTAATACTCTCTCTAAATTTTATTCTAATTGTCACACATATCAACCACTTAGGTCCTTGCAACATTTCATACAAACTGGCATGTTCGAATTCAAGTCATCTTGTTTTCTATGTTTAAGTTAGGAATGCACGTCAACGAGGTCAGCTGGCATGCTTGAACTATTATGAGTTTACCTTAGTCGGGAAACGAGAGCGACGATCGATGATCCAGTGACATGACAGGCTACTTTAATCCTAGCGTCCCAAACCCCCATTGAGTAAAACAAGAAGACTTGATATGAAGTAGAACACGTATTCTACAAACATCCAGGAGACATGAGGTCCGAGCTCAGAAGAGAATCAGGATCCCAGACTAGGGATCATAAAACGTTACAGATAATACGTATTTATACATTTAGGTCGAATAGGAAATAACATTTGAAGAATGTGACATTGATAGTTAGGACGACCAATAAGAATTGACCAATAGAATCAGACTTACAAATAATTCTCTTAGGATATTGGATGAATATCCTAACAACTTTGTAATGGTGATACTTAAGATTAAATATGTTTGTATGTTTATTACATATTTTTGTTATATAGTTATGGAGATCGTTGTTTTCGGATCGAAATCATGAATCGACCATTTTTAGATTGCCATCAGAAACCTGAAAGCATTGGACGGCCATTTTGTCCTAGTAAAGGGACTCTTCAACAGTACGCATCCGTGACTCCCGCTCGCGGGAATCGAACTCAGGGCATTTGATCTCGTGCTAATTTCAATATTCCTTATTTCTTTTTAAACAGTGATTCAAATCGAGCTTTCTGTATCCGCGCTGAGATTTGGTCAGTCACCGGGCTATCAGCGCTGATGAGACTCCCCAGATAGGTTGATCACTTTGCTTTTGCCAATTTACGCCGTTTATGGCGTAGGCGAGATATCCGTTCGCTAACCAAAGGACGAGTGTACTGTGCAGCAGTTCGCTCCGTTCTCCTATATGGATGCGAAACATGGCCGTTAAGAGTAGAAGATGTTCGTAGGTTACTAGTATTCGATCATCGATGTCTCCGAAGCATTGCTCGTATATCGTGGGACAACCGAGTAAGCAATGCTCTGGTTAAGAAACGAGTACTAGGTAGAGATGGCAGATGAATAGATGGAGCATTGAAACTTCATCAGTTGAGGTGATTGGGACATGTGTTATGAATGCCTAACCACCGACTGCCTCATTGAGCTAGGGGCGGCCAGTCCAAAACATTGCACAAATCCATGAAGTCAATGACAAATGGACTGAGTCGTGTCGGTAGATGTATGGTACCTAGTTGGGTTCCGCGAGACGAAAGTCACCAATCGTTAAAGACCTTGAATGATATGGCTCAGAACCGTTTGCAATGGCTCAGGTGCATCCACTCTTTGTGTTCTCTCCAATTCTAACCTTTTGAATTCCTCATAATCTGTATCTTTCTCCTTCTAAATTTATCTCACTGAATTATACTTCTTGAATAATATCTTCAAACCCTGTAGTCTTCTTTATTACCAATAATACCTCTACTATGTCTATCACTATTATTGTATTTGAATTGACAATTACGTCTCTGTGCTAATAATGTGGTATGGCAGCAACTTGAACTTATGTACATACTTACGAAATTCCACTTGTCGACTGACTGACTGACAATCTCTGGTTTATCTATTAACCTATGATCATTGTAGTGCAGTCAGCTTATCTTTTAATTAAATTGAAATTTATGTAAATAATCTTTTAAAATCTTTGCTAAGGAGTCGAATTTTATTGCTTAAGGTTGCTTGCTTAGAGTGCCAAGTGAATAATAAATTGATTGTTACAAACTAAATGATCAAATTATACCTGCCCTTACACAGCTTACATTATTGATTTAAACTTCACGCTCTCTCTGTTGATGAACTGTTAGTTAATAAGATTGAAATAGCGGACGTAGTAAACACGTCTAATATTACATAACAGCACAATGAACACAGAAGTAAATTTGATTAGAGAGGTCATTTATATAATAACTTTACTAGAATTAACAAAATAAATACCTTATCAGTTATATCTGTCTGTATTCATTTTAACAATTACTTACTAACACTAATGTGACCTGAAACAAAAATGCTGCAATCTTTCTATTTTTACACTTTTCAACCTTATCATAGACTGAATAGATAATATTTGAAATCATGAATCGATCAAAGTTAGACTATCATTAGAGACCTAGAAGCACTGGACAGTCGTTTCGTCCTGGTATGAGACTCATCAGTGGCAGTGTGCATTCACAACTCCTGCAGCTCGTAGAATTCGAACCCAGGAACTTCAGTCTTGCCACTGACCTAGTATCTAACAATGTTAATGTCTAACTTCGATCGATTCACGGCGTTGCGCAACCTTATACACTTTCTTCGGTAGTTACTGTCTACACCCGAACAAGTTGAACTTCAGTGGTCACGACTTCCCACTAGAACTCGGAGAAGATTCCTCACGGAGCTAGTCACTAGTGAGCACATGTAATTGCATTAAGGGGTTGTGACTAGTGGCTTGTTCTGTTAAGATAGAATTTGATTGGTTTGTTTGTTCATACGTGTTTTTTAGGATCCACAAGATGATAGTTATCGATGGTTAGAGACCTTGAATGACACGGCTGAACATCGTTTGCAATGGCACAGGTGCATCTATTCTTTGTGTACTCTCGAATCCTAATCCTTTGGATTCTTCATCACCTCTATCTTTCTTTCTTGAAGTTTATTTCACTGGATTATACTTCTCGAATCATATCTTCGAACCCTAATCTTCTCCATTACTGCTAATACTTCTACTATCTCTATCACTATGGGATTGAAAGTACTCTGTGTTGATGCGATATAGCAACCTTAACTTACGTAAGAAGTTCTACATTGTAACTGACTGGCTGTAGTAAGTGTAAATGTTCTAGGTTTTATATTATAAGATAATACATTCACCGTCAGATGAGTGAGTGTGAGAAACATGGAAGTGTTACGCCTGCACGTAAACACGTCATTTTGATATGCTTGAACTATTACGAGCTGACCTAGTTGGGAAACGAGAGCGAGGATCAAGGATCCGGTGACACGACATGCTACTCAAATCCGATTATCCTAACCCCCATAGTGAGTATTCTACAAGCATCCAGTAAGTACGAGGTCTGAATCCAGAAGACAATCAGGATCCTGGACTAGGGATCCGGGACCGGGTCCTGGTCATAAAACGTTACACATAATGCATATTTATACATTTTGGTCGAATAGGAAGCAACATCGAAGTCTGTGACATTGACAGTTAAGACGACCAATAGGAAGCAACATTGGAGCACGTGACATTGTTATCTATGACGACCATAAAATTGACCAGTAGGAATTAACCAAAGAGAATTGACCAATAATAATTCTCTTAGGACATTAGATGAATATCCTAACAGGAAGCAGGTTAAAAAGAAAATCCTCATTCTTAATTTCAATAATACAACTTCATTTTTATGGTTCATATTTTATTTCTTTCTTATGACAGTCTGTATCGGATACTGACACTGGTAAACCAAACTATCTTGTATGCAAGCTATTAACCAGCTGCTACTTAGTAGGATAAAGGAAGTTTACTTGACTGAATTCATTCGTCTACCTAAGCCTACATGTATACCTGTATGTATTTCCATGTTAAACCAAACTAATTTTCCTAGCTATTAACATGTATTTGTTATTTCAGAGATTTTTAATCGTTGTTTTTAGCGAGTTAGATTTCTAGGGGATGGGATCTTTCATCCCATACCTAACCTCTCTGTTAGGATATTCATTCAACAGCCTGAGAGAATTATTTGTAAGTCTAGTTCTATTGGTCGGTTCCTATTGGTCAGTCTAACTATTATTGTCACATTCTTCAAATGTTGTTTCCTATTGGTCGTGCTAACTATCAATGTCACAGACTTCATTGTTGTTTCCTATTCGACCTAACTGTATAAATATGAATTATTTGTAACGTGTTATGACCTGGGCACAGATCCCTAGTCCGGGATCCTGATTCTCTTTTGGACTCGGACCTCATGTCTTCTGAATGTTTGTAGAATACATGTTCTACTTCATATCAAGTCTTCTTCTTTTACTCAATGGGGTTTGGGACGCTTGGATTAGAGTAGCCTATCATGTCACCGGGTCCTTGATCTTCGCTGTCGTTCACCAACTAAGGTAAACTCGTAATAGTTCAAGCATATCAATCTGACATGTTTACGTGTATACGTAACACTCTCATCCGTGCTTTGGAACCGACAGTAACCCTAGAATATCTCCAGGTGGAGTTGTGGTGTGAGCTTCTTATAAGTAGTTTATGACGTGAGTGTCAACGTAATGTCTGGCAGCAGAAGATGAGGGAAGATCAAGAAAGGAAGAGTTAGAAAACAATGGAATTTGTATGAAACGCATGAATAGTGACAATGGATTGATGTTTTGCAACAGGAACAACAGTCCAGTTCGATATGATGAACTGATATTTTGCAAATTAACGATTTACGATATGGTTTTTCCCTATTTTACTGAGTAACTCTGTAATTTTTGGTTAAATACAATTCAGTTGCTCTCACCTGTGTTCTCGTTCACTACAGAGTTACACCTACTGAATGAATTAAGTTCACTAATCATATCAATTTGTGAATAATTATTTTTCTCCCTCTCATCTATTTTATTCATTCATATAGGCTCGTCGTTTCGATGTTCTTTATTGTTTAAAACTTCATCATGAATTTGATCAATTAAAACAAACAATTCAACAATCCAATTTATCTAATTCTAATAATAATAATAATAATAATAATAATAATAATTATCCTACATTAACCAATCATACTAATCAAAATAATTTAACAGCAACATCAGCAACAACCAATCAAAATCATCGAAAACTTTTAGCATCCGATAATGACTCATCTTTATCGCTTAGTTCTACAGCAATGGATGATATGGATGAGAATATACATGAAATTGATTTAGCTGAATCGCGTCCACAACGATCAGAAATCAATAAAAATATTGATGATGATGATGATGATGGTGATGATGGTGGTGATGGTAAA